CAGGAAAGGAGGAAATATGGGAGATGTAGATTTTTTCTTTTACTTTTTTGAGACAGGGTCTTGTAATGTTGCCCAGGCTGGCCTTGAACTCATAATCGTCCTACCTCAGCCTCCCAAGTAGCTGGGATTACTTTGTCCCAGTTAGGAACACAGAATTGATGAATAGATTACAGGTCCCTGTGAAGCAGAAGGGTTGTTGGAGTTCAGGTATAAAAAACATAGGAGTTGGTGGCCAGAAGCTGAGATGCTTGAAATCAAGATTTTGGGAACTGAGATTGTAGGCATGACAAGGTCTAGTGTAGGGGTCAGCAAACTATGGCCTGTGGGCCAAATTTAGCCTGATGCTGTTTTTTGCACAATTTAAGAATGATCTCTACATTTTAAAGTGTAAGGGGGGCACACTGACAGTTATCCTTTCAGCAAGAGCACCTGGTCAAATAATTGAAGACATCAGACATTACTTCCTGGCTCACAAAGCTATCTGGCCTTTGCAGAGTTTGACAATTCCTGTTCTAGACTCTAGGTATGACCCCATGTGTAAGTGGCTGAGATAAGGCAGAGGACACAACTGTGAAGGTGAAGTGGCCAGGATGTTGGATCATCTAAATAAAAAGGAAATCACCAATAATTATGACATTAGTGTTGCCAAGAGTGACAGGAGCAAGAACTGAGTCAAGGAATGGAGGATGTGGTCTGTGATCTGAAGACCCTATAAAGGCAGTGATTCAGAAGGGTAGCAGGGGGTCCAGCTTGACCACAGTATGATCTTTAAAGGTCAGAGTTTAAGGGAGGAGAGAAAGAATGATTGGAGCTAGCTAGTGGGAAGAGCTTCTTGATTCCTCATCTCGTCTCTAGGAGTCAGTTGTTTGAGATAGGGATTCAGTCACTCCTTGAGAAGGCTGCTGGGTTGGCAGGGTGCCCACAGATGGGGCCAGTGGTGGAATAAATAGTGGCGTGATTGAAGAACATAGGCAAAGGGGCAGCTAAGTTGCCCTGCAGTTTGAAAGGCTTTGCAGAGGAAGGTTTTTTTTTGGGCTGAGGCTTGAAGTATTGGCAGCAGTCAGTGAGGTTAGTGTGAGTGGGATGGGAGGAAGGGAAGGGATACTTAGGTGTAGGAAAGCATGATATTCTTGAATGATGTCCTCAGAAAATCACAAATGGACTTTGGTGTATCCAGACTCAGAACCAGTGCAATTAGAAGCTTTGAGTGAGGAACATTACTGTTTCTTCATTAATATTTGTGTACTGGTGCTTTGGTATATACTTGGGAGCTCACAGTAGCTGGGTAGATTAGTTCTATGAACTAGAAAGACACATTGGATTTCAAACGTGTTCTTACTTCCTCACAGATACAGTGAGAAGTTATCTTATATAAATGTATGGGCAATCATTCATTTTTCTCTCCTATGTTTTTTAGAATAGAATATCTGCTCATTGTTCTGTCAGGCATGGAAGATTTAGTAGTGAGAATTACAAATTTGGTTATTTTCACTCTGAGCTTAGAATGAGCAGAGGTAAGATAGGATGTTATTGGTGCTTATTGCCTTGGCATCTAAGCTAATCTGGGGGCCAAGGAAGAATTGTGAATTGACATTTAAGTGGAACCCAATATAAGAGCAAAGAATAGGTGATGGTGAAGAATGTTCCAAGTGAATTGATGGCATACATCAAGTTGGAGGAGAAGCTGTCTAGAACACTGAAAGACAGTGTGGCGAGAAGGGCTGAGAGATGCATGGGGCCTTTATCACAGTGGTGTGTCTCTTCATGGAGCTTCTGCAATGTTTGAAGACTGGCTTTTCCCTAAGACTCCAAGTCCTGGAAGGCAGGAAGCTAGTATGTCACGTTCACTTCTATCACTCACATACTTATCAGGTATCATGGCAGGTGTAACTACCATGCCTGGTACATGGTATGCACTTGATAAAGGTTTGTTAAATGAATGTATTACTGCGAGTCACAGCTTATCTCTCTGAAATTCGTTATGTTCATCAATATGACTACCCTGTAAACTGCAGAACATATTTGATACTGGGGATTGAACCTAGGAGCACTTTACCACTGAGCTACATTCCCAGCCCTTTTTGAGATAGGGTCTTGCTAAATTGGTGAGGCTTGGCCTCAAACTTTCGATCATCTCGGCTCAGCCGCCCCGGGAGCTAGGATTACAGGAGTGTAAAACCACACTTATTTTATAATACTTGTTTTAAACCTGTTTGATATTATGTTGCAAAAATAGTGCCTTTATAATGTCTCTAACAACTGGTTTTTGGGGAATCTTTACTCCACTAACGCAGGAACATAAACCTTGAAATAAACCCAGCATGATGGTGCATGCCTGTAATCCCAGCTACTAGGGAGGCTGAGCATAGGAGCATGGCAACTTCAAGGCCAGCAAGGTAATTTGAAATCCTGTCTCAAAATAAAAAATAAAAAATTGCTGGGACATAGGTCAGAGGTAGAGTGCTTACCTAGACGTATGTGAGACCCTGAGTTCAATCCCCAGTACCACAAACAAACCACAGAAAAGGAAAAACCCTCTTTAAACCCCTAAAACATTGAGAAATTATCAATCACATGTACTACAAAAGTAACTTGACTAGGATAAAAATCTTCAGTCTGACTACTTCCTTTTAGCATGCTTAGAATATTTTCCATCATATTCAATTTGACTGTTTTCTACTAAATGAGCAACAGCAAGTAATTATGGTTTTCTCCTGGTCAAATTAGACCCCATCTTCACTCTTATTGTGTCCCCATTGTCAACTAGGGAATCACTAACTCTTCTTTTTTTGATAGGGATTGAATCTAGCCGTGCTTAACTACTAAGACACATCCCCAGACCTTTTTATTCTTTTTTTTTTTTTTTTGAGACAGGGCCTTGCTAAATTGCTGAGGCTGGCTTTTAACTCACCTCCAGTCTGTCTCCAAGCCAAGCTACTGGGATTACAGGCATGTGCCACTGCCTTGGTGGGAATCATTAACTCTTGCACTTTTTTTTTTTTTTTTAAATCTATAGCATTCAACATTATGGCTCTTGGATGGTTCCAAATAAGTTGGAACTGTTGGTTGACCCTAATACGTAATATCCTGAAAATTGACATTATGCCTTTACTCATTCATAAAAACAGTGCTAAATACTTTTTCTATTTGAGATAGAGTATGTTGCCCAGGCTGGATTCAAGTGATCCTCCACTTCAGCCTCCTGAGCTGCTGGAGGCTAGAGCCACTGTGCCCAGCCTTAGATTCTAAATAATTTTATTTATTGCACTTACATAATTATTATCTATTATATTACCAAATGCTTCATATACTAAAAAAAATCAATGTGTAGGGGCTGGGGATGTGGCTCAAGTGGTAGCGCACTCGCCTGGCATGCGTGCGGCCCGGGTTCAATCCTCAGCACCACATACAAAGATGTTATGTCCGCCGAAAACTAAAAAATAAATATTAAAAACCTCTCTCTCTCTTAAAAAAAAATCAATGTGTAGGAATATTGGATTTTACTTTACCCCTCAACTTTTTAGTGTTTGTTTGCTTCTAGGTTTACCAAATAATAATAAATGAGTCCAGTTTGCCATTTTCTTTGAGGTATGATAATAGAAAGTCAGGAATATTGGAAAGCATGTTCTGATATTTAAGCCAGGTTTCATTTTATTTTATTCAGTTTGCATCTTTCTATGGTCTACTAAGTAGGTTTTCTTTTTTTACATAGAACACATGAAAGAACTATTTGCTTTTATGTTTGACTCTTTAATTTTGACTTAATTATAATATACACAACCAAGTCCCTTGATCTTGCCTATAAAACAGTTCCTATAGCTTCTTAGTACTTATGGGGCTTTTATATAACCCCTGACTGGCTCTTATTTTGGGGGCCAACTAAGCTAATGCATATACAATTATCTTAGCATTTTGGAGAAAGAATACCTCTGACACTAATTTAAAAATAGCCTTTTTTAAAAAAAAAAAAAAAAAAAGCATTTAGTTTTTGGTCCAGGATTGCATTTTCCAAATTTTCTTTCTTTATAGCAATAAATTTAGTTAAATAATAATAAAAACACCTCTTTGAGAAGGAATGAAAAATGCTTGTTATGTACATTGTTTTCCTCATTTATTGATCCCTTCACTAATTCACATATTCCGCCTATTATTACAAAATGTGCAATACTCTTGCAAAGTTTATTCCACAGCTTTCTACATTTCCTTCTGAATTCATCTTAGTTTTATACCAAGGGCTTGAGAATTTGATTTGGTTTAATCTGTGAGCATTATATTTTTTTCCCGCACTAACACACATTTCTCTCACGTTTGTTTGTGACGTGCCCCATATGTAAAAGCGACGACCCTCATGTATTTTCAAACATGCAAGCCTGTTCTGCTCCAGGGCTTTTGCTCTATGACAGGTTGCTCTGCCCCTGCTCGCCACCTCGGGGAGCCTCCATTTCCCAGGCAATCCTTGTGACACCAACTTTATTTTTACCAAGTTACGAAATAACTGCTCGTTTGTTCTTCACCGCGCCCGCCCCCCCCCCCCCCCGCAAGCTTGTTCGTTGAGGACGTGCCACCGCTATTTCCCGGTGGGGAGCAGCACTGGGCTAACGAAGGCTGCTCAACACATTCCCCTTAAATAAACTCAGCATTTTCACTTAGCCTCGCTGATGGGGCCTGATGGCAACTTAGCATGAGTCCGCACAAATCGTGTTGGAAATGAAATCGTGTGTATGCGCCTGCCTTGTGTCCTTGCAGAGCCTCTGGACCCAGACTCACCTTTCCCACCCTGACCCTCGCTCGAGTAGTGAAGGTCTGGGAATCGTTTCCCTAACGACCCAAGCGCGCCTCCATCCCAGCGCGCGCGGAAATCGCCACAGTCTCTGCCACGTCAGCCGGCGCGCGTGACGCCAGCGCGCAGGGAGGGGCGTGGCGCGCGCGGAGTCCCGCCCCTACATCCGGGGCTTAGGTGGCGGCGGTGCCGCCGCGCGGGGGTCACGTGGCTCCTTCCTTTCCGTCTCTGGCCGGCTGGGCGCGGGCGACTGCTGGCGAGGCGCGTGGACTCTCGCGCTCGTTCCCCTTCGTCTCCTCTCCCGGCCCGGGCCGCTAGGGAGTTCGCTGACGCCGGGTGAGCCGCGCCTGCCGCCAAGATGCCGGCCTATTTCCAGAGGCCGGAAAATGCCCTCAAACGCGCCAACGGTGAGTAGGGTGTCGGGGCGCGCCGGCGTGGGGCAGCCCGAGGCCTCGGAGGTCGAGGGCCCAGGCCTGCTGCCTCCTGCCCGGGCTGCGCCCAGAGCCGAGGTCGCTGCGGCCTCATTCGCCGTCCTGGCCCGGGTCTGGCATGGTTTCCTTCTCACTCCCAGCGACTGGGGGTGGAGGCGTGGATCGGAACCGTCGTACGGGCCTTACTCCCTCTGCTGCCTGCTGGTGCGACGCGGGGCGGCGGTCCAGTAGACAGTCCTGTCGGGGTCCAGCTCCTTCCTGGCGTCCGTCTCCAGCTGGCTTTGCAGACAGACCACCTGGCTCTGGTCCGCTTAGGCCCAGCGCCCCCGACCGCCATCTGGGAGTGCCCGGGAGGAGGAAACATGGCTCCCTCCCGGGGACAATGCACGCGAGAACCTCGGCCCCACCTCCCCCAGAGGCCGGGAGTCCGGCAGGTCCACCTCCGGCCCCCCCCGCCCCCAACACCTCTGCCCCCTAGACCCGCGAGGTGGTTTGCCAGGTCAGGGTCCACTTAACCCTTCATCCAGCCACTTAAGTGCACTTTGGGGCCTCTGACCCATTTAACCCGTTTCCTGTTTTTTTTTTTTTTTTCCCCCCCCCTTTGGCATTGATTGGGGCAGTCCGAATGCCTATTCCGAAACATGGGAAGTTGGAACAGAGTTAATATAAAGGGACTTTAAGGTCCTTCCTAAACTGAGGCCTGGAAGGAGAATGGTTTCCCCAAGGTCACTCCGGCAGTTAGTTGTTAGCCGGGAGACTAAAACCAAGGTCTCTTGACTTCCAAATCGGTTTTTTCCCCCCCTCTTGTCATAGCGCTGCAGTTTGCTATTTCTATTTCCACGTGGGTAGTTAAACCCTCGCGCTTGCAGGAAAAACTTGTGCCCCCTGATCTGTTCCAGAGGCACTTACTACATGGACATTATGGGGGTGCAGATGTCTTTTGCATATCTCTGTTCTTCAGAAACTTTCTTGTTCAGGGTCCCCCCCACCCGACTTTTAAACGAACACACGTATTTTGTAAGCACCCGTAGCTCTTATTTTCATCTTTCCTACATCCAAACAAGTTTTGGGTCTTACCCATGTTGTAGATGGACATACCGTGTCTGTTAACAGTTTTATGTTTCAAGAGTTTGTTGTGTTTTTTTTTTTTTTTTTTCTTCTAATTCAGTTTGTTTGAAACTTCATTTTGTGAAAAGACCAGGGGGAGTCAACACAAAAAATTAATGAAAATTAATGTATTGTTGATAATGTCGGGATCAAAGATGTGTTGTTTTCATACTTTAAAATAAAACTGAGTTTTTTGGGGAGGGACTAGTCTATGGAATGGACTAACTGCATAATAATTGTGTTCAAAACATTAAAACTACAAAATAGATTTGATCCCTACCCATCCTAAACAGTAATCTAATGGCTAGAAGAGACACTTTAAGGATTTAAAACAAATTTTTTAGGAAAGAAAATATAATGGAATGGAAATTTATTGCTACAGACAAAACTATAGCTAAATTAATTACTTTTTTGATGTATTGAAACTTAGAATTTTATAATGGTATACAAAATAACTTGCATGAAATTTCTATTCTGCGCTGTTATTATAGATGAATTTTGGTCAGTTGCATGCCTCACCGGCAGACCCTTGTCTATGCTAGCAGGATGAAGTATTGTGGTCTCCTTGGCCTGAACATTGCTTACATTGTGTTCATAACTTGTTTCCTCATCACTCCATTTGGAATCTTCATATAAGCTTATTTCAGTAACTTTTTAAAAATAGAAAGGATGTAGTGTATTTCAAATCTTTTTTCCACAATTTCCAAGTTGAAATAAACTTGATTCATGCAGGGCAAGTTGGAAAGAATTTGAGAGTAAAGTAGTCAAAACGAGAGATGGATATTATGGGGGAAAACTTGGATCATATTTGTGTAGTTTTTAAGTCCTGTACTGACTCCTTGTACTTTGGTGGCTTTTGTGGCTAGAGATGCTTTAACTTCCAACTAATAGCTTATATACATTTGATCTTTTGAGTGAGGTATCTCTTAAAGTGTCAAAGGGATCAGATTGTGAATGGCACATGGCACTGCTTACCAAACATTAAGTAGAACGATAGGGCTGGGGATGTGGCTCAAGTGGTAGCGCGCTCACCTGGCATGCGCACGGCCCTGGGTTCGATCCTCAGCACCATGTACAAATAAAGATGTTGTGTCCACCGAAAACTAAAAAATAAATATTAAAAAAAAAAAGTAGAACGATAAAAGGGTATTCCACTCATTGGAAATTAATTTTATCTATAACATTGTAACCCCCGAACATCATTACATTATCTTAATAAAATAATATATTTTAGTAGAATAAACCTCTAAGTCACACTGAGTGTCTGTATTAGGGCATTATTTTTTGAAAAAGTGACAGTAATTGTTCTGGAAGGTAGGAAATTGTCCCAGCAGTTATAGGCCAGAAATTAATATCTCCTTATCATTGGGAGAAAGTGCCTTTTCCAGATTATGTTGTTACTAGTGTCAAACTAGGTGCTCCTGACCCAATAACTGCCTTTTAGTTTATACTTTACAACCAATGCCTTAAAAAAATGAAATTGTTATTAACCCCACAAATGGAGTAACATTATAGCTTATCTATTTCTTCTATTGGCACAGATTAGTAAAAAGGACTGACCTAAACTTTCTCTTTATTGATAGATACATAGTTTCAATTGTGTATTCAAAAGATAAACTCAGAGTGCCCACCCTCCTAGTAATAGTCCTAATTCTAGACTGATTGATTGATTTGGTTGATTGATTGATTGTGGTGGTAGAGATCAAACCCAGGGCCTTATGCACACTAGGTAGATGGTCTACCACTGAGTTCTATCTCCAGACCCCCAGATTTTAATTTTAATTTGTAGAATATTCTGAAAATCAACATTTTAAGTATTAGAATAGAACAATAATGCATAATAGTTCTTTCCAGCCTAAAAAAACTCCCCCAGGAGGACCTAAATCTTCCATATGAATACACACACACACACACACACACACACTCACACACACACACATATACATACATATATGAATCATAAAGACAGGAAAACTCATCCTTGTGAATTACAAAAAATATTTCCATTCTAGTTTTTCTTTTAACATCCTTTGTATCCATACTTTGTTTTTTAAATTTGGTTGAGGTGAGGGTGTTTCCTAAGTTTGGTTTTTAATTTTTTTTTAATGTGTTTTCTTTAGCTTGCTTGAACTTGGGATTTGGAGTTATAAATTTTGTTTAATCCCAGGGATTAAACCCAGGGATGCTTAACCACTGAGACACATCCTCTGCTCTTTTTTATTTTATTTGAGAGAGGGTCTTGCTAAGTTGCTTAGGGCTTTGTTAAATTGCTGAGGCTGGCTTTGAATCTGAGATCCTCCTGCTTCAGCCTCCCAAACTGCTGGGATTACAGGTGTGCCTCACCACAGCCAGTATGGAGTCATAATAAATTTAGATCGGTTGTTTAGGAAGTGAAAAGTACTTGGTAGTTCCCTGACCAAAACTTAAGAATATTGTTAAGAAACTACACTTCCATTTAAAAACTGTATTATCTGATTTCTTTATTTTTAAAATTTTAATGGTTTTGTATTTTGTCATCACTCCTTGGTGGGTTCTGCTTTCAAATTTAACTCATTGTTCCTATTCCATATTATAAGCATATTGATTATGGTTACATATAGTATTTTAATATTTAAATCCATGTGTGAATTAAAAATAAGAGGTCATTTTAGTGTTACTACTGTGGTTTTCTTAATGTAAAGGATAAATTTGATTAAAGACATTTTCTCCTAAAATTTTGACCGATGGACTTTTGATTAAACAGCTTTGGAAAATTCCTGAAGCACTGGGCGCTCTTGGCTTGTAGCTGTAATTCCAGCAGCTTGGGAAGTTGAGGCAGGAGGATTGCAAGTTCAAAGCCAGCCTCAGCAACTTAGTGAGGTGTCCTGAGCAATTCAGCAAGACCTTGTCTCAAAACTAAAAAGAGCTGGGGATGTGGCTCACTGGTTAAGGGCTCCAGGTTCAATCCCTGGTACCAAAAGAATAAAGAAAGAAAGAAAAAACCCTGAAGTATCAGTGGGTTTTAGAAAATAACCTTTTGCATACTCCAGGAGGAGGATAAGTAATTTAAAAGGAGATGCTTTTTATTCCAGTAAAGTTTCTGGTTGTACTTTGTTTAATTAGTGAGTTTTTCCCCTCATTTAAGACTGACTTCAGTTGAAGGTAAACTTTCACCCATAATGGTGTGGGTTTTATATTTGCATGTGAAGAAGATTTAATATTATAAGGGGTGATTCAAGGTGTTGTATAAAGATAATTATTTCTTTCCATATTGTGTGATTTGTCCAGTTGCAAACTTTTTTTCTTTTGTAGCAGGGATTGATCCAGGGGCACTTAATCACTGAGTTACATCTTTAGACCTTTTTATTTTTTATTTTGAGACAGGGTCTCAGCAAGTTGCTTAGGTTGTTGCTAAATTGCTGAGGCTGGCTTTGAATTTTTATGGTCTTCCACCTCAGTGTTCTGACTGCTGCGATTATAGGCATGTGCCTGGCCCAAATTTTTCAATATGTCTTGAGAGTTGGAATATTGTTTGTAAGTTTCACTGGAGGAAGGAATATTGGGAAGCACCATTCCTGAAAGATGTGGTAGTTAAAAGAAGACATAGTAGAGAATTACTGTATCTGTAGATGTAGTAAAACCCCCAAGTAAGAGACTGTTTGCCTAGCATAGTTACATGGTTGATAATGCTGTAACTTTTTTAGGTTAGCCTTTGTTTTGGTGCTGGAAATTGAACCAGGGCTTCCAGCATGCTTGCTCTCTCCCCACCCAGCATCCCCAATCTTCCCAGCCACACAGTAAAGAACAAGAATTATTTTGGGGGGTGGGGGGTACTGGGAATTGAACTCAGGGTCACTTGACCACTGAACTACATCCCCAGCTCTATTTCATATTATATTCAGAGACAGGGTCTCACTGAGTTGCTTAGTCCCTCACTTTTTGCTGAGGCTGGTTTTGAACTTTTGATCCTTCTGCCTCAGCCATTGGGATTACAGTCGTGTGCCACCACCACGCCTGGCAAGAACAAGAATTCTTTGTCCAAGATTTTTTCCTTAGGAGAAAAATACAGATCTTTAAAAATGGAGATGCAGTGTTTTAAGATATTTTATAGTGTAAATTAGTGATTTAGTTCCTTCAAGTTTTTTCAGATGTGCAGTTGGAAGATTTTTCTGTTTGTGTGAAATTTGGTAATTGCTGAATTTTAAGCCAAACTTAACCAATTGGCTTGGATAAAATACCTCTTTTTCTCCCCAATTACTAAGTGTTTGGGCAAAATAAAACAAAGGGTGAGAAAAAATAAGATTTACTTATGAGTCATTTATTTCTCTTGAATTTCCAAAGGAACAATATACATAGAACTTAGGATTAGAACTGTATTATTTTTCCTTTTTTTTTTTTGGTACCTGGGATTCAACCCAGGGGTGCTTAACCACTGAGCCTCAGCCCTTTTTTTTTTTTGAGTCAGGGTCTCACTAAATTGCTCAGGGCCTTGCTCAGTTTCTGAGGCTGGCTTTGAACTTTAGATGTTCTTGTCTCAGCCTCTTAAGCCAGGGATTGTAGGCATGAGCCATTCACTGTGCCCTGATCAAACTGGATTTTAAAATGTTGCCACAATCAGAATGCCTTCTGACTTAGGAATAGTAAATTCAAAAGAATTTTGCTCTATTACACTCCAGATTTTTCAAAAGTTACTCTGTTGTATACAGTTCCCAGTTTTTAGATGTACACAAACCTTTATTCTGTTTATTTATTTATTATGTGGTGCTGAGGATTTCCAGTTTTTAAAAAAACAATTTTAGAACAGTGTGAGACTTACAGAATTATTATGAGAGTAGTATAGTTCCCATTTATATTATACCCCATTGTACCTTTTTATGAACAAGTTCCTTCAGTATGGTACATTTGTCACAACTTTTAGACCAGTAACTGATAATATTTAATTCCATACTGTACTTGGATTTCCTATCTTCCCTGGTGTCTTTTTCTGTCTTGCATCTCATCAACAACAATCCTTCATTGTGTTGGGCATGGTGGTGCATGCCTATAATCCAAGTGACTCAGTAGGTTGAGGCAGGAGAATTGCAAGTTCAAAGCCAGCTTCAGCAATTTGGCTAGACGCTTTCTCAAAATGAAAAATAAAAAGGATAGGGGATGTGGTTCAGTGGTTAAGCACCTTGGATTCAACCTCAATCAAACAATTCTACATTGTATTAAGTTGACACTTCTAAGATTTCTTGGTTGTCACAGTTTCTTAGTCTTTTCCTTGTGTTCTCATGACCTTGAAAATCATGACTGTTTTAAGAAATACCGATAAGGTATTTTGTAGAATGTCCTTTGTCTTAGTCCATTTGTGTTGAAACAAAATAGCACATCCTGGGTACTTCTGCAACAACAGAAATTTATTTTTCACATTTCTGGAGGTTGTGAAGTCCAAGAACAGGCTGCCAACAAATTCCATGTCTGGTGAGGGCTTTATCTGCTTCCAAGGTGGTGCTTTGTTACTACCTCCTCTGGTGGAGACTAATGATGTTTCCTCAATCTTACTAGTTCCCTCTATTAAAGTCCTGATCAATTTATGAGGGTGGAGCCCTCTCATCTCTTTAATATGGTTGCATTAGGGCTTAAGTATCAACAAGAATTTTGGAGGACGACACATTCAAACCATAGCATACTATAGTTATAATTTGTCTTAATACTTTTCATGTTTAGACTGGGGTAAATAAATGGAAAAACAGACCATGTTCGCAGATTCTGAGACTCAGTATTATTGGTTCTTTGAACTCCCATTTATAGATTCAGTGAAATCCCAGTCAAAATCCTGGCAAGTTATTTTGAAGATGATACCAACTAGTTGTAAAATTTGAATGGAAAGGCAAAGGACCTAGTTTAGTCTGCACAAAACTAAAGGACAAAGATGGCACACTCTACTTGAATTCAAGACCTTATCTAAAGACTACAGTAATCAAGATAGTGTGGTATTGACTAAAGAGTAGGCACATTAATTAATAGAGAATGAATGGAACAAAAAGCCTAGAAATAGACCCTGAAAATTTCAGTGTTGTCAACTGATTTTAAGTTTTAAAGGCAATCTGATGTGTTTTTCTGCCTCAAGTGTTAGTGTAAATGAGCAAAAATTTCACCAGCTAGTTGAAAGTGACTTTGAAGTTGAACTTTTCTAAGTTGATAGAAATTTTCTTTTCCTCATTGTTTCAATTTCTGGAACTTTTAAGTCATAGTGGAATTGGCTGAAGTTGTTTTATCTGTACACTATTTTGACATAGTACCAGACTTTTAATTGTTCTATCTTAGATAATTATGGCATAGCTTTTTTAGATGTCAAAAATATATGTGATCTAAAAAGTCTGTAATGAGAAGTTACAGCAACCAGTTAAAAATGCAAGATTTAGACTTTTGTATATGTAACTGACTAATTCTACTGAATTATTTTTTTTTTTCAGAATTTCTTGAGGTTGGCAAAAAGCAGCCTGCTCTGGATGTTCTTTATGATGTTATGAAAAGTAAGAAACATAGAACATGGCAAAAGATACACGAGCCGATTATGTTGAAATACTTGGAACTTTGCGTGGATCTTCGTAAGAGCCACTTGGCTAAGGAAGGATTATATCAGTATAAGAACATTTGTCAGCAGGTATAGACAGAATTCAGTTTTATATTTTAAAAGTGCTTCTAATGATTTGCAGAAGAGTTTACCTTTCAGATATATTTTCTATCATATAATTTACTCTAAACATTTGGGAAAAAGTGGTTTAAGTTCTTTTTCTTCCCCTCCTGCTTAGGTGAACATTAAATCTTTAGAGGATGTTGTTAGGGCATATTTGAAACTGGCAGAGGAAAAAACTGAAGCTGCTAAAGAAGAATCCCAACAGATGGTATTAGATATAGAAGATCTGGATAATATTCAGACTCCTGAGAGGTATGAATTAAACCTTTGATAAATATTTTGATAGTTAAGTCAGTGTTTTTCTTTACATGGGTCTCCATCATCCGCACTTGAAGTAGATGTTTATCAGAAGAAAAAAAAATTTTATTTGAAGTTTTAAATGTGTAGTAACCCAAACAGTTATTTAGGTAATACTGGAAATTTGTAAAAGCAGAAAATTGAAGCATTTAGAAAGATAGCTGTAATACAGATTGGGAATTAGATGTAGACAATAAGTGTGTATGAAGTTGTGGAAAAAATTTGTACTATTTTGTTGGTTTTGATTTTTTAATCATTGACACAGTAGGAAATATGTCTCATTGTTTTCAACATTTAAAATTTTTTTTTTTTTTTAAATTTTTTGTAGTGTTCTCCTAAGTGCTGTAAGTGGAGAGGACACTCAGGATCGGACTGACAGATTACTTTTAACTCCCTGGGTAAAGTTCCTGTGGGAATCATACAGACAATGTTTGGACCTTCTTCGAAACAATTCTAGAGTAGAGCGCCTCTATCATGATATTGCACAGCAAGGTAAAATGACACTGTGAAATCCAAATAATTTGATTTGAAAAGTTGACTTTAGAATAGATTTTTCCAGGACTGGGGTTGTGGCTCAGTGGTAGAGTGTTCTAGCCTTGCACATGTGAGGCGCACTGGGTTTGATCCTCAGCACCACATAAAAATATAACTGAAAGAAACAAAAAAAGATTTTTCCAGAAGTTTAACCTCTTTTTCTCCAAGATACTTCCAGGAAACAAGCCAGTTTTACCCTTATTGAAATGGATTGACATTTGAGTATTAAACAAATGACTTGAATAAGAAATTCATTACCAGTTAAGATAGTTCCATATGAAATATATGCCATTGATGTCATTTAAAGAGAGTTTTTAAGAAGTCATTTTGGAATTCTCTGGTTGACTGAAAAAACCAAACTTTCCATTGTTTTCTGTTAAACTTGAGTTCCAATTTTGATAGTCCTTTGGCTTAAAAGGATTCTATGAAAAATGTTTTTTCTTTCTTTCTTTTTCTTTTTCTTTTTTTTTTTTGATGGGTACTGGGGAATGAACCCAGGGACACTTTATCACTGAGCCACATCCGTAGTCTTTTTTATTCTTGTTGATGAGGGCCTCACCAAGTTATCTGAGGCTGCCCTGAACTTGAACTCCTGTCTCAGCCTCCCAGGTTGTTGGGATTTTAGGTGTGCATCACTGTGCCTGGTATGTTTTCCTTTCTTAAGCAGTAAAATTGAATATAGAATTAGGCCTTCTTGGTGATTGAGGATCATCTTAATATCTAATTGTTTTTCTGCATACACTTAATTTTTTTTAAAATATTTTTTTAGTTGTAGATGGACACAATACCTTTATTTATTTTTATGTGGTGCTGAGGATCGAACCCAGTGCCTCACCCACGCAAGGCGCATGCATGCTCTACCACTGAGCCACAACCCCAGCCCCAAACACTTAATTTGTGAAGGACTGTATTGAAAGTGTCTAGCCTCTTTACCCTTATTGTCACTTGTTATACTTTTCCTGTGGTGAATGCAGCCTTTTTACTGTATATGACTTTGCTCTTGGCCTTTTGTATTTTACCCTTATGACAAACTTGTGTCTGTGAAGCCAGTCTTACAGGGATGATGGGCTTTTCTTTATTCAAATACTAAGTACTAAGTGATTTGCAACTAAGAATGTTTTACTGTGAATACTGGGAACTGTGCTTTTTTTGCTTTATGTTTTGGTACCTGGATGCTTAACCTCTGAGCCACATCCTCAGCCCTTTTTTATATTTTATTGATACAGGGTTTCAGGGTTTCACTGAATTGCTTAGGGCCTTGCTAAATTGCTGAGGCTGGCTTTGAACTCATGAGCCTCCTCCACTGGGCTGTGTTTTGTTTACGTGGCTAGCAATGTCAAGTTTCATTGTCTATAAGTGAACTTGTTTTTTTGCGGGTAATGTGATATAAATACTAACTTAAAGTTAAATTGCCCCACTTTGTTTTAGGCCTTTTGAAATAGAAATACTGTTTTATTTTTAAAGAGCAAAGGAATACTAATACTGCATATACATAATAATGTATAGGAAATTATTATATTTTAATTGTGGAGCAAGTGGTTTATATAGATATCTGTATATAGTTGAAGTTAGTTTACTGTAAATACCCAGTATATATTTTGTAATTTTAGTATGAAAGCATGTTGCATTTGTGTTAGTGAAATATGTAAGTCAATTGTATTTTAGCCTAGAATATTTTACTTGTTTCAGTTTGAAGTCCTATAAGTCTTTGAAGGGTGAGTTTTTCTAAATGCCAATCATTTACAATTTGTAAATCCCAGAACCATATTTTGGTCTCAGGCCAGGAATGATGACACTGTCCTTTTTTGTTTTGTCAAGGTTCAAAATAGGGCACTTGGAGGGAGTTGCCTCTCTTCATAACACATTCAGATGCTCAAGATGAGTTTGGTGAATCTTGTTAACATGGCAAATCTTAATAAAACCTCAAGTACTCAAGTCAGTAGTGGAAAATGCCTAATATGTTTGTCAATTATGCTTGTAGCATTTAAATTCTGCCTCCAGTACACCCGTAAGGCTGAATTCCGTAAGCTGTGTGACAATTTGAGAATGCACTTATCACAGATTCAACGCCACCATAACCAAAGTACAGCAATCAATCTTAATAATCCAGAGAGCCAGTCCATGCATTTGGAAACCCGGCTTGTTCAGTTGGACAGTGCTATCAGCATGGAACTGTGGCAGGTATGTTGTGGAATATTAGCTTTTTCTTCTAGTAATAATCGGCATTACTTTTTTCCCCTTAGTGAATATCTTCATCTTGGTATGATGGTTATCTGGAGCAGGATGAGTTCTAGACAGGAAGTCTCAGTTTTCAGGCCTGTGAAGTTTGGGCCTAGTCATGTAATCTCTTTTAGAGTTAGTTTCTTTTCCTATAAATCGGTACATTTTCAGTGCTGCTCAAAGTGTGTTTCTATGATTGGTGCCAGTCTAAACTGTTCAGTCTGGTGAAATAAGTATAGAGGAGAAAAGAACTTGCAAAGGTGTTTTGGTTTTGCTTTTTTGGGGGGTTGGGGATACAAAGGATTGAACCATAGCCTTTTACAAGGTGAATACATGCTCTACCACTGAGCTACATCCCCAGGCCCTACAAAGGATTTTCCCCCCTAATTGGATAATGAAAAATGAGTTTATTTTCTGTTTCACTTTTTTTTTAGAGAGAATTTTTTTAATATTTATTTTTCAGTTTTTCGGTGGACACAACATCTTTATTTTTATGTGGTGCTGAGGATCGAACCCAGCCCCCCGTGCATGCCAGCGAGCACTTACTGCTTGAGCCATCCTCAGCCCCTCTTTTTCACTTTTATAGTAACATTATTTCATAGAAGTTTTTGTGGCGACAGATTGGAAATTACTGTTCTTTTAGAGATGGAGAAATGCTGCCCTGGACTTTTGCCTAAGCACTATGGCTTAGGAAGTATGCATGGTGAATACCACATATATAAAAGCTTTTATATATTTGATGCAAAATATTTAATTGTAATTACAAAGGAACAAACTAAAAATTGTAGTTTTTCAGCCAAGTGAAAGTGTTATTCGATTTCCCATTCTTATTTCATAATGTTTTCCCCTTTATAGAAACATCCATCTTAAAACACTACCTATAGAGGACAAATAAACATACTTATTATAGGAAAAAGGAGATAAAGTTAAATGTTCTTCCATTGTCACATCACACAGAAATTACTTGTATTTATGCTGCTGTTACACCTTTTTAGAGTTTTCCTTTATAAATTGCACTAAGTGGTATGATGATATGCGAATATTTGCTGCTTTTAGTCTATTCTATTTACAGTATTTCCTAAAGAATTTTGAAAAATTTGAAAAGTTAATGGTTGTTAGTTGTAGATAAATGAAAAGAACCATGTGTGAAGGCAGATTGATGCTTTTAATATTGTGTGTTCTGTGTTTTAGGTTTCATTCAGAGATTTGAACTAGAATTTTTTTTTGTTTCCGAATGCAGTGACTAATTTATACTACTAATTCTAGGAAGCATTCAAAGCTGTGGAAGATATTCACGGACTATTCTCCTTGTCTAAAAAACCACCCAAGCCTCAGTTGATGGCAAATTATTATAACAAAGTCTCAACTGTGTTTTGGAAGTCCGGAAATGCTCTTTTTCATGCATCTACACTCCATCGTCTTTACCATCTATCTAGAGAAATGAGAAAGAATCTTACACAAGATGAGATGCAAAGGTAAGAATGTTGTACTTGAAGAGTAGTATTGAAATTACGTATCATATCTTCTAAATGACCTATTAGAATGGTATAAATTAGGATTTCTCAGCTTCTGTACTACTGACATTTTGAGCTGAATAATTCTTTGTTGCAGGGCACTGTCTGTGCATTGTAAGATGCCTTAGCACCATTACTTAATCTCTACCCATTAGGTGCTAGTAGCAGTCCTCCTAGTTGTGACTACCAAAAATATCTCCAGGCATTTTCTTGGATAATACTCTTGGTCCTAGGAGTCATTCTTTATCTGATAGCCAACTCCATTAAAAACCCACATGAGAAATAGAGGAGAGAGAGAAAGAGAGACAGTGAACCTTTTATCTGTGTAGATATGTGAGAGACATGAGCCTTCTATGTACAGGTAGTCTATTCTTAGAAAAAAATTAGAGTTAAGATAATTATTGCATCAAGTTATTTTTTTCCCTGATTATACAACCCTAACTGTAGAATACAGATGTTCCTTGACTTAGATGGGGTTATGACCTGAAGAGACTATTGTAAGTTGAAAATATGATAGTTAAAAAAAATCATTTAATAACCCTAATCCACTCAGCATCATAGCTTGACAGCATAGTGCATTGCAGGGCATCCGTGTTGACTCTCATGATTGTGTGGCTGACTGGAAGCTGTGGCTCCCTGCCATTTTGAGAACATCAAAGCCTATACCACTAATTTGGGGAAGAAAATCAAAATTCAAAGTACTGTTTCTCTTGACCACACACTTTCACGTGGTAAAGCCAAAAAATTGTTAAGTTGAAGCATTCTAAGTTAGGCACCGTTTGTTTTTGAGAGTTATATACAAACATGAAAAATTTATGCAAATACAAAAAGAAGTGTCTGTAACCTAGCAATCTATAGATTAAATGTTTCTTTTTAAAAACACATTATATATAGCTTATTTTCTTTCAGTTACTTTTTTTTTTTCTTTCGGTAGAAAGAACCCTCTACCTGGGTTTTCTTTTGGGGATTGAACCCTAGGCCTTTTTTGTTCTAGGCTCTACCACAGAGCTACACAACTCTATACTTCGGTTACTTTTTAAAAAGTAATTAGGCACTTCATACGCCACTTATTTCCTTGAATTGGTTGACATTATTATTATTATTATTAGGATTAGAACGAAGGGCTTTATGCATGTAAGGCAAGCACTCTACCAATTGAGCTATATCCCCTAGCCTGACCATATTATTTTGGTTTTCTGTAGAATTATATATGCCAAATTATTTTTCTTAGAGGTTTATTGCAATGTAAGGAACCAACTAAATCTGCTAGTACTTTGCTACTTTCTTTGAAAATCTTGAGGATAGTATCCGTTGTCATTCATTGTTACATAATTCACTATATAAGAAAAAACATTTTTCCCTGTAAGATACTGATACTGTCCCTTCAGGGAGTACTGTAATAGTAGCAAGCATCACGTTATTTACTTCTGTGTATGTTATTTGGTTTAATATTCACAAAAACCTTGTGACAAAGTTCAGTATTTTGCCTAAGGTTACAATATTGGAAACAGTGAGGCTGAGGCCTCAGAGTCTGAATTCATTGACTTTTGTCTTAATGTTTTAGGGCAAATTCAGCACCCCCCTCCCCCGTTTTTTTGGTACTGGGGATTGAACCCAGGGGTGCTTAACCACTGAACCACACCCCCAGCACTTAAAAAAATTATTTTACATATCTATATATAGACATAGATAAAGATATATATAGTGCTGAGAATAAAATCCAGTGCTTCACACATGCCAGGCAAGTGTTCTACCATTGAGCTACAATCCCTGTGGGTCCCCTACTCCCATGTTATATTTATTTGGAGACAGGGTCTTGCAGAATTGTGACGGGCCTTGTTAAGTTGCTGAGGCTGGCTTTGAACTTGCGCTCCTCCTGCCTCAGCTTCCCAAGCGCTGTGATCACAGAAGTGTGTCATTGTACCTGGCATTAATTTTTTCTCCTTATTGCCATTTATTTATTGGGTTCAGAAAATGTGTCTTTTCTGCCTGTTGGCCGCAAAAAAGCAGCAGCAATAGTGAGTGGGTGGATTGAAATTGTGATTCCATGAGTATTAATTTAAGCAAGGTCCATTTCTCTTTTGATTAATCCCATATGATGGGATAATGTGGGTGTGATGTACATCTTCTGACACTGGCATATCATACTATATGACTAAAGGTGATTCTGATCTGCTTTTTCTGCTCATCAAGCAACATTTTGACTTAACAGATTTAATCTCTTTACCACAGAATGTCTACCCGAGTCCTTTTGGCTACTCTGTCCATCCCTATAACCCCTGAGCGTACTGACATTGCTCGACTTCTGGATATGGATGGCATTATAGTTGAAAAACAACGTCGTCTTGCAACATTACTAGGTCTTCAAGCCCCACCAACACGAATTGGCCTTATTAATGATATGGTTAGTATCAGTCTGTGTTTTTACAGCTTTGGACAGAAAACTGATAAAGTTGAATAATTTGTGATTAAGTACTGGGAATTCTGATTAATTGTCAAAAGGATTCTCATTTTATACCATTGGTATAAATGGGGTATTTCCAGATGATCATTTCCAATAGGTTAAATTGGTGGGAGCTTTGATATAAGAAGACTTGGACTGGTTCTGAGGAATATTGTGGGACACTGAGTCCAAGGAAGTGTAACAGTGGGCAAGCATAGTCATATTTCAGGAGGCTATAGGAAAACAAAGCAAGCTGACTTATGTAGCATTTTCACATATGGATGATGGGGCCCAGAGAAAAGGGGCAAGCTTTGGACCTTATTCTAGACACCTAAGACACTTTTTTCTATTAATGTTTCATTTTATATGTTTTTTTTTTTTTTTTTTTGGTACCAGCGATTAAACCCAGAGGCACTTAACCAGAGCCACATCCCCAGCCCATTTTATATTTTTTAGGGACAGGGTCTCTAAATTCTTAGGGCCTCGATAAGTTGTCTTTGAATAACTGCCTCAGGCCCCGCTTGGATTATAGGTGTATGGCACTGTGCCCAGCTATTGTTTTATAGCTTTAAAGCTGTGGCTCTTAATCATTGTTATCCACTTAAAGCTGTAAAGTAACAGTTGTTGTGTTCAAAGGATTGTTTCCAGATCCCCTGTGGATACCACAGTCCCTTATTTAAAATAGTGTAAATTTGCATATAATCTCCTAAAAACTTAAAATAAGCTATAGATTACTTATGATATTTAATGCAAAGTTAGTGCTTTGTAAAAAGTGATTTGTAGCATAGGAATAGGGCTTGATAGTTTGGAATGTACCCTTAAGACTCTTTACAGAACAATGAGAAGAAAATAAAACTACAAGTAGCCAGGAGTGGTGTCTCATGTCCACAGTTCAGGAATTTGAGGCTGAGGCAGGAGGATTTGTTACAAGTTTGAGGCCATCCTTAGCAACTAATCGAGGCCCTAAGCAGCTTAGACTCTGTCTCAAAATAAAAAATAAGAGCTAGGGATGTGACTCAGTGGTTAAGCATTCTGGGTTCTATCTCTAATATGGGAAAAAAAAAAAGTACATATATAGCAGAGATGCAGTCTCCCTCCCCTAGTATTTCCTATATATGGTTGGGTGATCCTGAGGATGTAACTGCCAAATGAATGGAACACTGTCTTGTTGATGGACATTTGAGGTTTCTCTAATTTGGGCCTAATAGAAAGTATTTCCCTAATTTTTGTGATAATTTGCACAGATTTTTTTGTTGGTAATAAATTGTCTATGGTAGCCATATTTGTGCCAGTATCTTACTAGGTTGGCTTAGAGTTAATTCCTTTTTAAGTTATTTCACTATAGACAGATGTATAATGTGGGGCAAGAAACTCCCCTGGGTTATAGTTTAGATAGATTTAGGTAAACTTTGGTAAATTTAAGGGGGTTCAGGCTTTACAATCTTCAAATCCATTTTACAGATTTCTGACCCCATTGTTTTCTCTAAATTTATACACCGTTAGACTCTTAGTGGAAAATATGTTGCTGTTAAACCTTGTGCTTTGTTTACTATAGGTCAGATTCAATGTACTACAATATGTTGTCCCAGAAGTAAAAGACCTGTACAACTGGCTGGAAGTAGAATTTAACCCATTAAAACTCTGTGAGAGAGTCACTAAAGTAAGCATTTGTCTTTACGTTTTGGTTTTGATACCATGTAGCCAGCATTATTGCAGTTTCGGGTTGTATTTATCTTTGTTAAAAGATAAGTATTATCTTATGTTTGAATCAGTGCACATTTCATTGTCTTTTTTCTTTTATATCAAGAGAAAAGATATTTCTGATGTGCTAAACAAACTTGGAGGTAAATTAGCAGCATGACTGTCTTAGCCATTGCTGTCAGTCACCTTCAGACAAGTATCAAAAACCTTCATGTTAAATTTTCTATTTCTTTGCATTTTATGATGTTTTAGTGTATTAAAAAATTGAAAGCATTTCAGATATTTTAGTATTTGTTTCTTAAAAGTATAATTCTTTCTAATTTAATGGATTTTGTAGGTTTTAAATTGGGTTAGGGAACAACCTGAAAAGGAACCAGAGTTGCAACAGTATGTGCCTCAACTGCAGAACAACACCATACTCCGCCTTCTACAGCAGGTAAAAATACAAATACATGTTTTGTGGAGAAAGTGGAATTTCCTTTTTTGAGCATTTCTAGCATTTACTGGAAAAATTTAGAATTGCCCAGGAAGTGGAAGCTTTCAACAGTTCTGCCCCCATCCAAATTAGTCTGATTTGTTTTGAAAACAAAATGAAACAATGTTTACTTACTTTCTTGTTGAACCCTATCATTTTGCATTTTTCTTATTACTAAAGTAGGGTTTATTTGTTTTTAGAACCAGGGATTGAACCCAGGGGTGCTTAACCACAGAGCCACATCCCCAGTCCTTTTTTATTTTGAGACAGGGTCTCATTAAGTAGCTTAGGGCCTTGTTTAGTTGCTGAGCCTGGCTTTGAACTCTCAATCCTCGTGCTTCAGCCTCCTGATTGCTGGGATTACAGGCCTGCACAACCATACCTGGCTAATGTAGGGCTTTCTTATTTCTTTCATACCTATGTGGTTTTTTCATAGCCAGGTGGTATCATGGTGTACTTATTAGTGAAAACCTGTATTTATAGATTTTTTCCTGTTAGAAAATGTCACAGCATTGTGCTTCTTACATATACCTGTGTTTCCATGTGCATGGGATTTTCTTTAGCATAAGCAGTGGAATTGTCTTACACAATTACACAAATTTTCAACCAATTCTTAACAAGAATAGAGAATGAGACAACCTTTCTCTTTGTTAACACTTGTTATAGTACAGTTTTAAGTCCAACATCTTCAGTAAGGTGAAATGTTATTTTTAGTAATAGCTAAATGTTCTTTTTGGTTTTCATTTGGTGAGGGGTTCTTTAATTATATATTCCCTTAAGTATATGCACATTTCATTGACCTGCTTTCCTTTGTATATGTGAGCAGTGTTATTTCTTATGTGCTACACAAATAGTTGAAGGTTAATTAGCAGAATAACTATAAATAGTAATGCTGCCAGTCTCCTTCAGACAAAAAATTTTACAAAAAGTGTTTAAAGGTACTAGATGAATAGTAATTCTTATTGATAAATACGTGAGCTTTTGTATGTGTATGGTGCCGGGGAATTACATGACCAGTTAATTTTGTTTTATGAAACTAGGATTTCAAAAGATGACACACTTGAGGAGGAGAAGTATAATATGATGATTTACAGCATAGGAATAGGGCTTGATAGTTTGGAAAATGTACTGTGAAGATAACTGAGGTTCAGTTTTGTGTTTTTCTGAAGAGTTGGATGTCACGAGATTGCACATCAAAAGTGCTGAATAAATGGCAGCTGTTATTATCAACCCTGTGTTTTTTATGCAGGTGGCACAGATATATCAGAGCATTGAATTTTCTCGTTTGACTTCTCTGGTTCCTTTTGTTGATGCTTTCCAACTGGAACGGGCCATAGTAGATGCAGCCAGGCACTGTGACCTGCAGGTATGTACTATAAGGGGACATTGAGGTGGGCAGAAGTTCCCTGAGGACTAGAAAGACATATACCTTTTGTTTTTTGTGCTTCTGGTATAATGGCACCTTTTTTAAAAAAAACTACTTTTTTATACTTAGCATTCTTGTTAACTTCTTAAATTCAGTTGAATTTTATTTTTATCAAGATACTTGTCGAATGATTTCATGTTAATATATCAATTTCATCTGGTAATTTAATTTGCCAAGGTTCGTATTGACCACACTTCTCGGACCCTGAGTTTTGGATCTGATTTGAATTATGCTACCCGAGAAGATGCACCAATTGGTCCTCATCTGCAGAGCATGCCTTCAGAACAGATAAGAAATCAGCTCACAGCCATGTCCTCAGTGCTTGCAAAGGCACTTGAAGTCATCAGGCCAGCTCATATACTGGTATACATGTTTTTTTGGGGAAATGAATTACCCAAGTCGTGAGGGACTCTTATGCTCTTTCACGAAAAGGCTTGAGATGATATCTGAGAGAAGGGAGATTGACTATTTTTTATTCACTTGGTAATTTTGTTATTTTATCAGATTTCTTAGATAAACAAATCACTTTATTATCTTTCAGCACAAAATACTGCAGAGGTAATGTAGTAACAGATCATGTAATATAAAACAGAAGGCCGTTCATATATTATGACCCCCAAAGAGTGAAGTACACAGTGATTGGGCTTCTCCTTCCTGCTTAAGTTGTTTGTGATCTCAGTTAGTATTTCTTTGAGTATTTAAGGTAGATTTGGGCACAGAGAAAAGTTGACCTAGCAAGTAGAAATGGTTCTTTAGCTAGGTAATTGCTATCAGTGACTGAATAGGTGTAGCATCACAACAAATGGCTTGGGTAATGCTATCTTCTCTTATTAAATGAAAATTCAGATAAGGGCAGTGCATCAGGGTTATTTTGTACATTTTTTGATGTTTAATACCAGGGTCTGTTGCTTTTAATGTTTTAAAAAATGCATTTGTTTTGAAGCAAGAGAAAGAAGAACAACATCAGTTGGCAGTGACTGCATACCTTAAAAATTCACGGAAAGAACATCAGCGTATACTGGCTCGCCGTCAGACAATTGAGGAAAGGAAAGAGCGGCTTGAGAGTCTTAATATTCAGCGTGAGAAAGAGGAATTGGAACAAAGGGAAGCTGAACTTCAGAAAGTACGCAAGGCTGAAGAAGAGAGACTGCGCCAGGAGGCAAAAGAGAGGGAGAAGGAGCGGATCTTACAAGAACATGAACAAATCAAAAAGAAAACTGTTCGTGAGCGATTGGAACAGATCAAAAAGACAGAGCTGGGTGCCAAAGCATTCAAAGATATTGACATTGAAGTATGTAGAATATCACTTATTAACAATCGAGTTTGACCCAGGTCTTCTGTTATTCTTGCAACCATAGTCGTTTGCCATTAATTGGTTTATTTTGGGGTTTTAGGATATTTCATGCATTTTGTTATAGCTGTCTTGGTGAGTTAATCTGAGAGTAAACATTTGATTTTAATTGGTCCATGCAGTTTGTAACCTGTGTCTTCATCTGTTGGTAATTTGGGTGGATGTAAAGTGGAGGAGGCAGAAAGAGATGTTAAGATTGTGTATGTTTTAATTTAGGATTTGATTTAGAAAGCAGTGTGTCCTTTTGATTGTTAGGTATTTCTTTTATGTTTATATTAATGATGGTACATTTGAATTACCTTTTAGGATCTTGAAGAATTGGATCCAGATTTTATCATGGCTAAACAGGTTGAACAACTGGAGAAAGAAAAGAAGGAACTTCAAGAACGGCTGAAGAACCAAGAAAAGAAGGTAAATGAAAGGTCCATTAAACTTTCAACACAAATTAAAAGAAACTGGGTATAGTGGTATACACTTATAATTTTACTTAGGAGGCTGAGGCAGAAGAAGGCCAGTTTGGGAAACTCAGCGGGAATCTATCTCAAAATAAGGGCTAAGAAGGTTTGGTAGAATAGTTGTCTATTATATATGGGTTCAATCCCCAGAGCTGGATAAAAATGTTTATAAAAATGTTAACAACTGAATTCATTTTCATGCCATTCAGATTGACTATTTTGAAAGAGCTAAACGTTTGGAAGAAATTCCTTTGATAAAGAGTGCTTATGAGGAACAAAGGATTAAAGACATGGATCTGTGGGAACAACAAGAAGAAGAAAGAGTAAGTTTTTCATTTAACTAATATTTTTAGGTTGTAAACTGTAATAAAATCTTCTGTCCTCGATGGGACTAGGGTTTCACAGTTGACTTATTTTGTTAAAAATGGTGATTTAATATCTGTTTACTAACAGATTAATGGAAAGTAGAAATTTTTACAGTAGAACTGAGTATGGTGTAGCATGCATGTATTCCTATTTACTTGGGCAGCTAAGGCAGAAGGATCTCAGCAACTTTGTGAGACTGTGTCTCAAAATAAAAAAAAAGGGTTGGGGAATTATCTAGAGGTAGAGCACCCCAGGCTCAATCCCTAATAGCAAAGAGAAAACGAGGAAAAAAAAAAAGGAAAATTCATGGTCTAGATTACAAACGGAGTAACACAAAGGACAACTGGAATGCTTATTTAAAAAATAACTTTATGTACACTTTATTTATTTTTTGTTTTTAAATATTTTATTTTTTTAGTTGTAAGTTGGACACAACACCTTTATTTCACTTATTTATTTTTATGTGGTGCTGAGGATCGATCCCAGGGTCTCGCACGTGGGAGACAAGCGCTCTACCGCTGAGCCACAACCCCAGCCCTAATGTACACTTTAAATGGGTGAATTGTGTGTGTGTGTGGCTCAGCAGTAGAGCGCTCGCCTAGCATATGTGAGGCCCTGGGTTCGATCCTCAGCACCACATAAATAAATATATTGTGCCCCAACTACAACTAAAAAATAAATAAATATTTAAAAAATGTATCTCATAAAAATTTCTGATATCATGGTACTAAATAAATCCTATCTCTTAAATGATAGCTCCCCCAGGACTCCTTGTGCCTGAGTGCCTTCCTGGGGACCTGTGGGCAAAAATGATGGTTATCATGCCACTTTTATTGGAAGATGGAAGAAGGAAGGGAGTAGTGATTGCTAATTGTTTGAGAATGTTGGCAATTTGTTTGGAGTGATTTAGTAATCAGTAATAAATACTTTCAAATTTAACTGTATTGTGTACTTGCAGATTACTACTATGCAGCTAGAGCGGGAAAAGGCTCTTGAACATAAGACTCGAATGTCGCGAATGCTTGAAGATAGAGATTTATTTGTGATGCGACTCAAAGCGGCGCGGCAGTCAGTTTATGAGGTGAATATACTGGTTTTAAGGAAAAGTTTATTTATGAGCTTTTTAGTTTTGCTTTAATATTCTCTGTAAACACAGTGGTACATTCTGTCCTGAGTTAATGTGTTTACTAAAGAATATTCAAATGTTATTTTAGTAGAAATATTTTGGAAAAGTTTTCACCTTTTCTAAATGTGAAAGTCTCTTTGTACAGGTTTGTTTAATGTTTCAGAAATGAAACAGCAACTTTGAGATCAGAGTTCCTAGGCATTGTAATTTTAATAATTTTATCAACAATGTAAAATGTAAGAAATTTGGCATGCAGATATGGTTGGAAATTCTGGTCTTTGTATTTGGAGGTTCCTTTTTCGGGTTCTAAGAAATGTAGTTTGTTCTTTTGGAAAAAAATTATTATTTTTTTGGTTGGGGGACTGTTTCATTGTAGGAAAAACTTAAACAGTTTGAAGAGCGATTAGCAGAAGAAAGACATAATCGTTTGGAGGAGCGGAAGAGGCAACGTAAAGAAGAGCGCAGAATAACTTACTATAGAGAAAAAGAGGAGGAGGAGCAGAGGAGGGCCGAGGAGCAAATGCTGAAAGGTAAAACCACATAGACATGGTTGGAGGGATGGATTCTGGCTGATGTCAAATGTAGTGTTTGGCAATCTTATTTCATAGAAAATATAGGAATCTAGATAGGTGAATTTTTAGCAGTATAGCGAACTGTTTTCAGAATCCAGGTTGTTACATTGAAGATGCTGTGTCCTTTGTGGATTTGTTTCCACATATTTGATCCTCTGTTTTTTTTTCTTCCCCCTGTGGTACTGGGATTAAATCCAGCGGCTCTACCACTGAGCTACATCCCAGCCTATCTATTTATTTATTTATTTTCTGAGGCAGGGCCTTGCTAAATTGTCCAGGCTGACCTCAAACTTGGGCAACTCTTGCTTCAACTTCCTGAGTCTTGTTTGATCTTTTAAAAATTCATGCTTTTTGTTTTTCATGACTGAATTCTGTAAAGGTATTAACATTGATTGAAGAATGAATGCCAAATGAAGGCTGTCAAATGGTCGTCTGTCTGGAATCTCAGATTTGCAGGAATGGAGGGAGGGAATCTAATCTCATCCTTGTTTTCTTGAATATCTTATGCCATTTAGCTGTTTTATAATTTCGTTCTACTCTGTGCATCCTGTTTATTTAACACTAGAAAATTAGGCGTAAAACTAGGGGAAAAAGTGCTGGTGAGAGGAACACTTAGTAACCAAATAAATTATATAGAGCGAGAAGAAAGAGAGAGGGCTGAGCGTGCCAAACGTGAGGAAGAGCTTCGAGAATATCAGGAGCGTGTCAAAAAACTAGAAGAAGTAGAAAGGAAAAAACGCCAAAGGGAGTTGGAAATTGAAGAGAGAGAACGCCGCAGAGAAGAGGAAAGAAGACTTGGCGATGACCCACTTTCTAGGAAGGTGAGCACAGATGATTTTCTGTTGTAATGAGTTTCATGTTTGTCAGCTAACGTTCTTTTTTTAAAATTTTTTTTTATTGCTCAAAACATTACAATAATCTTGACATATCAACTAATGTTCTTGCATGATACCTAGAAGGTGACGTGACACAAATTCTCTCTTGGGCAGAGATAAAACAGTCTGCATCAACTGAGAGCTTGTTCAGGCCCACGCCCAAACCTCATGATTCAGAATCTGCAGTTTAATCAGATTCCTAAATGATTCAAACACTATTCTAAATATTTATAATACATATTGTCAAACTGACCTGTATTCTCACTACAATCTTGTGTCTCATGAATTTCATTTCCTGATTGATTGTATGTTACCCACTTAATCAAAGAACTCTTAAGCTTGTTCTTTGTGTCCCTACATTAGGCTTCTCTTGGTTATTGCGTTTTTCACTAGTTTCTACTGTCACCGTTTTTTTTTTATTGTAGATGGACACAATACGTTTATTTTAAGCTATTTTTATGTGGTGCTGAGGATTGAACCCAGTCCCTCACATGTGCCGGGCGAGTACTCTACCACTGAGCCACAACCTCAGCCCTGCTGTCACCACTTTCTTCTCTTTCTGCTTTATGTATCTGATGCCTGTCTCTGTATTCTTCCTTTTCCTTGGAATGTGCCCACTTTGCTCTTTAGAGAAAACATTGTTTTAACATTTTCTTTTCTTTTGGTACCTGGGATTGAGTGCAGGGGTGCTTACCGTTGGGCTACGTCCCCAGCTCCCCCACTTGTAGAATTTTTTAAAATATATATATTTTTTTAGTTGGCAGTGGATCTTTTTATAATTTTTATTTTTTAAATATCTTTTAGTTGTTGATAGACCTTTATTTTATTTATTTACACATGGTACTGCGAATTGAACCCAGTGCCTCACTCAAGCTAGACAAGTAAGCTACTGCTCAGCCCCAGTTCCAGCCCCTATAATTTTATTTAATTACATGCAGTGCTGAGGCTCGAATCCAAGGCCTCACACATGCCAGGCAAGTGCTCTACCAAGCACTCTATCACTGAGCCACAACTCAATCCCTAATTTTTAATTTTGAGATAGGGGCTTATGAAGTTGCTTAGGACCTCACTAAGTTGCTGAGTCTGGCTTTGATTGAATTTGGCAATCCTGCCTCAGCCTCCTTTGTTGTTATAGGTGTAGGCCACTGCATCTCGTGGGTCAACTTTTATTTTAAGAGAAATAGCTTGGCATGACATTCTCTGTGTCACACCTGTATTGGATGCTTATCTTTATGGAAGGACCTCATGCTATTACAATATGGTCTTTACTTTTACAATGTATATGGACAGAGTTTTGGGGCCCCGCCCCCAGATTGAACCAAAGGGTATTTTATCTCTGATCTATATCCCCAGGCCTTTTTAAATTTTGAGACAGACTCACTGAGTTGTATAGGCTGGTCTTGAATTTAATGATCCTCCTGTCTTAACCTCCCAAGTTGCTGGTATTATAGGCATGTGCCACTGCACCCTGTAGGATTTTTATCCTTGTTGCTAATTTCCAATTTTATTTCTGTGCATTCGAAAATACATTGTTAGGTTTTTGTGAATATTTTTTTCTGTTGGACAAAAAGTTTTGTATATATATGTATGAAATCAGAGCTGCTGTGTTATTTAAAACTTCATCTTCTGAGAAAAGAAAACAGACCTCCTGTAATTTATGTTTTAAAAAATTCTTTTAGTTAGCTTTCCTAAATCCATCTGTCTATACTTGTAGTCATTTTACCCTATTATAGTCGTGCCCACCCCATGGCTATAAGGACATACCATTACTGTAATGCCTCTCTTTTCATACTGTCTGCTTCCATATTCTTGAGAGCCTTTTTTCTTTAAGGCAAACTTAAGGACTTTTCTCTGCTTATTTTTATTTCCTCCTCTTGTGGTTACCACTAATTTTCCCTAAAATTTATCTAAATTTTTATAGTATAAATTTTAGTTTCTACTTCTACAGAACAAACCAAATTCTGAGCATGACTTACTTAGGTATTATTGCTGGGTATATTTTGCCTCAAGATCATTACAACCTCTTCTCTTTCTACTTAGGACTCCTTAGCAGTAAATTTTATGGCTATGTGAGCAACTGTTAGTTTATTTTTAAGGTATTTGTTTTATTTCAGTAATAATTAAGAAATATTAATTATTCTGTCAAAAATAATAAGTTATTTCAGAAATTTCCAGTACGGTGGTCATACAGTGAACCAACATAGTAGACAATAAAATCAAAGGCAAATAGTTTTCCAGTTTTTCTTTTGTAGTGCTGGGGATTGAACCCAGTGACTTATACATGTTAGGCAAGCACTCTACCATGGAGCCCCTCTTCCAGTTTCTCCTCCTCCTCCTCCTTCTCTTTTTAATGAATTACTGATATATCAAATTTACAGTTTTGTCAATATGAGCTTTTAAATTTATTTTGTATGTGGTGCTTAGGATCAAACCCAGTGTCTCATGTCTGCTAGGCAAGCGCTCTACCACTGAGCCACAATCCCAGCCCTCTACTTTTTCTTGAGGGGAAAAGTCCCAACCATGTAAGCTGCGATGCTTTGTTTAAACAAAAGAAAACAACAGAAAAATCTTACTAGCAATTGTTTAGTGCTAAATATGTTTATACTGTATCATGTTTTCCTCTTTGCAGATACATTTTGGTTTTATTTTGTATATTTTAGTTTTTTTTTTCTTTTTCCACAGAATGTCTTTGTGTGTATCTCAAGAGATTTTGTTTCTTTCTCATACTTGAACAATGGTTCAGTGTTTGGCCATTTCAAAATCATCTTTTATTCTTTTTAATGCATTATCACACAGGGGAGGATTCTTGTTACTGATCTTGGTCTTTTTTTTTTTTTAATTTATGTTTTAATTGTAGTTGGACACAATACCTTTATTTTATTTATTTAGTGTTGCTGAGGATTGAACCCAGAGCCTCACATACTAGGCGAGCTCTCTACCGCTGAGGCACAACCCCAGCCCTAGATGCTTTTTTTTAAAAAAAATATTTATTTATTTAGTTTTTAGGTGTAGATGGACACAACACAATGCCTTTATTTTTATGTGGTGCTGAGGATTGAACCCGGGTCCCGCCCGTGCCAGGCGAGCGCTCTATCGCTGAGCCACAATCCCAACCCCCTAGATGCTTTTTTATTCCTTGGAAATTTCTACAGTTTTCTTTATCCTTAAAAGGAATTTAATCATTTCACCGATGATGTTAGGCTCATTGTGATTGGTCTTTTTTTCATTATTCACTGTTGGCATTTTTACTCTTAAAATCAGAGGTATAATTCTCCTTAGACAAGATAAGATTATATTAACTTAAGGAAGTTTCCCTTCCTTTTCTCTTCAAAATCTCTTTTGTGTGGTCACTTTAACTATCTATTTTAGTGCTGGGAATTGAACCCTGGATGCTTCACCACTGAGGCATATCCTCAACCCTTTTCTTGCCCTTTTTCTCTTTTGAGACATGGTTTTGCTGAGTTGCTAAGCCTGGCCTTGAATTTGTGATCCTCCCTCACCTCCTGCATCACACACTGTTACACATGTGTGCCATCATTGCCCGGCTGTACCCTGCCACCTTTTGTTGTTGTTGTTTAAGGCAGGGTCTCACTAAGTTGCTAAGGCTTGCCTGGATTTTGTGTTGTTTGTGTGCTTCATCCTCCTGCCTAGCTGAGATTACTATAACTGTGTACCACCATTACTGAATTATCTTTAAAAATTTTCTTTTTTTGTGTGTGTGTGTAGTAAGTTGTCTGGAATTCCTGTTTGTTCATTAGCATGGCCCATTCCACTATTTGCTCTACTGGCTTTAAAGTATTTGTGGCCAGTCCTGGTGGCACATGCCTATAATCTCGTCTACTTAGTAGGAGGCTCAGACAGGAGGATTGCAAATTCCAGGTCAGCTTGGGCAAATTATCTAGACCCCGTCTCAAAATAAATAAAGATATGGGGATGTAGCTTAGTGTAGGGAGAATACTGCTGGATTCAGTCTTCAGTACCACCCTCCTTGAAAGGGAATTGAGGGGGGGCGCAATATCTTGAATTCTTTGTTTTGCATAAAGATGACAAGGGTAAAATAAACATTAAAAGATAAAGAAGAGCACCTTGAAAAGCAAAGTTGGAAAAAAGATGAAAAACATCTTTAAAGGAAATGTGAGGAGTGGGAGAAATGTGGTCTTTGGGTATGTATGTCCCCCTCCATTGGAGTGACCATGTAGTTATTAATTACATTGACTTTTTAATTTGTGTCCACTTGGGAAAGTCTTGGCACAGCCTTCCTCTTAATAGGCCAGAGTCATCCATGATAGCAGAAGAACAATTATTATCTGACTACATGTGTCCTTCAGTGCTTCTCATCTGTAGGCTGTATCTTCCAGCGAGCCTTACATACCTAATTATGGCTGAAGGTTATGTTTATAGGAGCAGGCAAGCTGCGTCAGAGGGTGCTCATTGAAATGTTGTGCCAGATTTTCATTTTCATTGGTATTAATGAAATACCAATTAAATATCTCATGATTTTTAGTGCAGTGCTTTCAAGAGAGAAACACTGTTAATCTAACCATTCTGTTAGACATTTCATTTATTCTACTCTTTTGCATGTGCTCAGTAGGAACTGTGATGTATGTTTCAGAGCACTTTTTTTTTTTCCCCACTTCATATTTTTCAAAAGGGAATTTCTAGGCCAGTGGTAATCTGTAGATCTTTTAGGTGCTCCAGATGTGTACTCTCAGAGTGATTTCAAGTGGTGTTTTACCAGCTTATAAAAGCCATGTACAATATTTGACAATATTAGTTTGGTTGTACTGGCAGTCTGATTGCAGATTAAAAAAGAAAATTTTAATACATTCTTATATTTAAGGGCTTGAGGTCAAGAATTGACTATGTTTGGTAATACCAGTAGTTGTCGTTATGAATCGTTGTCATTGTGGTGCTTCTTGTTTGCTTTGCTTATGCAGGATTCTCGTTGGGGAGATAGAGACTCTGAAGGCACGTGGAGAAAAGGACCTGAAGCTGACTCTGAGTGGAGGAGGGGTCCACCAGAGAAGTAAGTAGAGTCACAGAATTTTTGTTGTGGATCCTAGTAATACTCCATCGGGGTGTGTGTGTGTTTTTCCCCAGTACCTAGGATTATTGAACCCAGGGATACTTAGCCACTGAGCTACATTCCCAGCCCTTTTTTATTTGAGATAGGGTCTTGCTCAGTGGCTTAGGGCCTCACTAAGTTGCTGACACTGGAACTTGTGATCCTCATACCTTGGCCTCAAAGGATTACAGGTGTGTGCACCACACTCAACATCTACCAGTGGTTTTAAAAATAAGCTTATTTGTAGGGATGGAGAAAGGAAAAGCTAAGAATTATTATCATGCCTGATTCTTTATTCCACCCTTACTATGATGACTAACCTCTAAACACTTATCTCAGATATTTTAAATTCCCTAAGAGTATTGAGTTTAGAGAGTAAGAAGGAAGAATTCTGTAACACTTTTTCTTTAGATTTGTTAAATAGATGTAGCTGTCCTTGAAATAACTACTAGTGGTAGACAAGAATGCCAGCTTTTTAATTTCTGTTCAGAAAGTAAGTTTAGAATAATCATTATAACAGATTAGAAATTGCCAAGGTTCTTGTTTCCCCACTTTGCCCCCCGCCCTTTTGGTATTGGGGATTGAACTTGGGGATATTTGACCACTGACCCACATCCTCAGTCGTGTTTTGTATTTTATTTAGAGACAGGGTCTCACTGAGTTGCTTGGTGCCTTGCTTTTTTGCTGAGGCTGGCTTTGAACTCATGATCCTTCTGCCTCTGCCTTCCAAGTTGAAGTTACTTACGGCCTTGCTTTATTGCAGTTAATTTTCCTGTTTCTTCCACCCAAGCCACTGGGATTACAGGCATGTACTACTGTGCCTGGGTGGTTTTTATTTTTTGCTGCTGGGGATGGAACCCAGAAGTGCTCTACCACTCAGCTGCATCCCCAGATCTTTTTATATTTTGAGAGATGATCTCATGAGTTGCCTAGGCTGGCCTCAAACTTGGAATCCTTTTGTTTCAGTTTCCTGAGTCCTGAGATTTTAGGTGAGCATCACCATACTAGCCTGAGGTATTTTTAAAGGCAATAAAATAGAATACAATTCCTGAATGATGGGATGTTTTGTGAAAATACTTGACCTTAAAAATGTGTGGCTGTTCCTCTGTAGGGAGTGGAGACGTGGAGAAGGGCGCGATGAGGAAAGGCCTCATCGGAGAGATGAAGATCGACCCAGGCGTTTGGGAGATGATGAAGAGAGAGAGTCCTCTCTTAGACCAGATGATGATCGGGTGCCTAGGCGCAGCATGGATGACGACAGAGGCCCTAGACGTGGTCCTGATGAAGATCGCTTCTCTCGTCGTGGAACAGATGATGACCGTCCTTCTTGGCGTAATGCAGATGATGACAGGCCTCCCAGACGAATTGGTGATGATGACAGGGGAAGTTGGCGTCATGCAGATGATGATAGACCACCTAGACGAGGACTGGATGACGACAGAGGAAGCTGGCGAACAGCTGATGAGGACAGAGGACCAAGACGTGGAATGGATGAGGACCGGGGGCCCAGGCGAGGAGGTGCTGATGATGAGCGATCATCCTGGCGCAATGCTGATGATGATCGGGGTCCCAGGCGGGGCATGGATGATGACCGGGGTCCCAGGCGAGGGTTGGATGATGACCGAGGACCTTGGAGGAATGCTGACGATGATAGAATTTCCAGACGTGGTGCAGATGATGACAGGGGGCCTTGGAGAAACATGGATGACGATCGGATTCCCAGACGTAATGAAGAGGATCGGATTCCCAGACGAAGTGAAGACTCCAGACCTGGTCCCTGGAGGCCATTTGTCAAGCCAGGTAAAATTCTGGTATATAGACAACTAGTTGAGATGCTTTGTGGCATCTGATATGTTTCTTTTTCCATAAATGCCTTATGTAGTCAATTTCATGTCAAAAATTTCCTTTGTTGTTCCACACCCCAAAACAGGTACTGTCTTCTGTAGTGGTGTTGGGCTCATTTTCTTTCTGTTCAGTTGGATGTTGCTTTGAATGCTATTTTTCTGTTCCCATCACTTAAATATTAAGTGTTCTTCAGGTTCTGTCTTAGGCCAGCCTTCTTGAAAATAGATCTTTAAAATATACCGTTATTAAATATTTATGCAGACTCCTGTCCACCGTAGGATTATACATGGAAGAACTCTTCATTTTTTTAGTTCTGGGCCTACTCATCTTTTTCACTTTATGATCCTTCTATAGTTGTATGTGTCTATGACACATTTGTGACCATCTTTAGGTGATGTCTGCGTATTGCACATTGGCAACAGCTGCTTTTAACACATGGTACGTCTCTACTGGGAAACCTCACTGACATTTTAGACTCAACTTGTATAAAACTCCTACTTTTCTGTCGGCTCACCACTGTCTTAACTGTATAATCTAGGAATTTGGGAGCTCTCCTTTCTCTGGTCTCTTTCATCCTTTAATTTAATCTTTGATTCAGTTTAGTTCTGCCTTTTTGATGTTCCTTAAAACCACCCACGTTTGTATTCTATCTGCTTGAACTTGAGTCTGGGCCACCATAATTCTTTGAGGTCTTGCTTTTACCTACTAACTTATCTCCACTGGTTCTACTCCCAATTCTTTGTGCTGTAAAAAGCCATTCTAAGTTTGGATCTAAGCAAACAGCTTCTTTGTCTTTATCTTTGGTTTCTACTATCTTTATCTTTTCTGTTCTGACCCTGGGCAAGTGACCTTTGGGGCCTCATGTAAAATGTAGTTAACTGTACAGTAGGTACTGAGGAGTCCTAGAGGAAATATAACATTAGGTTCCTTTGGGCCTCTGGTCATATTTTAGCCAGTCAGAATAACTATGTTTATATGTTTTTTTCAGGGTACCTTATTTGAAACATAATATTGCTTCATGAGCATAGAATTCACTGCCAACAGTACTGTAACTCATGTCTGAGCAAAGCTTTTTTGATACATAATATATTTTCTGCCTAAGAGACATCATTCATAGCCCTCTTGTGCTTGGGGATACTAGATAGCATTTCAGTAGTATGCTTGGGTTGTTTGAAACAGTGAAGTCAGTAGCAAACCACAAAGGTATGGAAAACATGGCACTAAATAAATAATCCCTGGAAAGGACACTTGTTAGAGTAAGAGCTGAAACCAGAAGGCAAAGTGCTGCCCACTTTAGCTGTGGTCGTGTATGTTGGGCGACTCACAATTTTTGCTGCTTTGGAGTGACTGGTAAGGTGCCACAAGACTAAATTTTGGGGTTGCTAGTTTTTAGCAAGCACAGAATCTGATAATATTAAGACCGACTCAGGTATTGATAGGATTGAGCAAGGCAATTTAGGCATATGGTTTAGGTTAGTGCTTTGCCTATGGTAGTGTCTTGTGTTGGTGACAGTAATAATTATTTGTGGTACAGCTATAAGTTTTCACTGAAATGTTTGCTTCCTTTGACCTCTTTGTAAATTTCAGATCCATGGCTACATGCAAGACACGGGGCAGGATCAAAGCATTTGTCCTTGTTTCATGACTAGATGGTGGGTGGTAAGTGGTGGATGACAGGAATATGAAAAGAGTCTTTTTTGGTGATGAAGATTCTGAGAATGTTGCAAGGTATAAATGACTCATAATTTGGGCTTTAATGCTCAAGGAAAGCTCTTTAGGTTTTCTGCTAAAATGAACAGTCTGCTTATCCTCAGGACAAATTGTATACCCCAAACCTTTGCTTACAGTAAAAGTTCAATGATATTTTTATTTTACGGAACATAAACCCAGGTAGTCTATGCAGTGACACAACAGCTTTAGGATTTTTCTTTTTAAATGAAATTGGAGTGTCTTCATCATTCTAAATAATGAGTTAATGTCAACATACCTTTATGATTACCGATCTGTTTCTTGAGTGAAAAAATACTTTGTTGCTTATTTTAAAAAAAATAGGCGGATGGAGAGAGAAAGAAAAGGCCAGAGAAGAGAGTTGGGGTCCACCTCGAGAATCAAGGCCATCAGAAGAACGTGAATGGGATAGAGACAAAGAAAGGGATAGAGACAATCAAGATCGTGAGGAGAATGAGAAAGACCCTGAAAGAGAGAGGGACAGAGAGAGAGATGGTGGGGATCGTGAGGATCGCTTCAGAAGACCCAGGTTGGGAAATTTTTTTTTCTTTCTTTTTTTCTTTTTAGGTTGGATGTTTCTAACTAAACTGTTTGTAGAGTTACAGTTTTAATATTCTTTTAAATACTCTTCGTGTATTCCAAACTGTTTTAAGAAACCTTTTCTCATTTATCTCTTAAATCATGTAATAAAATTTTAGAGTTCATATAATTGAATTATCCCTTTGAGACAATGTCTTAAACTGTGTGTAGCTATCTACAGGTTATATAAACTGGAAATGAAACCAGCGTGGTGTGCAGTATCTGAGGTCCACTTAGGAGTTTAAACCTTGTCCCTTATATATTCATAAACTAAGCATCAAGTTGGGTATGATGTGTTCACTTAAAATTGCCTGTATAGTTTATCTTCAGCAAGAACTTGTCATTTTAAATGGTTACAGGGATGAAGGTGGCTGGAGAAGAGGACCAGCTGAGGAATCTTCGAGCTGGAGAGATTCAAGTCGCCGAGATGACAGAGATAGGGATGATCGTCGTCGTGAGAGAGATGATCGTCGTGATCTAAGGGAAAGAAGAGATCTCAGAGATGACAGAGACCGGAGAGGGCCTCCCCTCAGATCAGAACGTGAAGAAGGTATGAATGTTATTTATGCTGGAGTGTTGGAGAACTGTCATTCTGGCAGTTTGGGTTTTATGTAGTTATTTTGTAAATTTGCATCAACACCCCAAACCAGGTAAACAGTCTTATTTTAGTTTAGAACTTGTGATTCTCATTCACTTAATGGTCAAGCTGTGACCTAGCTCATCTCTAAATTTAAAGTACATTAATAGACCAAATTGGATAATGAGCAATATGTAGTGATGAAATTTATTTAGCAAAAAGGAAAAAGCAGTTTAATCAGTTATTTTAGAATTAAGATCCTGGCAGATTAGCACAAAGTTTAATAATTCTTTCTCTGAAATTTTAACAGTTGAAACGTTAAAAAATATTTTAATGTATTTAATATGCCCATTGCACTTAAGTACTTGTTCTCACACCCTTTTAGTATTTTTTATTTGTTTATTTATCCATTTTTTTGTAGTTGTAGATGGACAGTGTGCCTTTATTATTTATTTTTATGTGGGGCTAAGGATAGAACCCAGTGTCTCACATCTCTGCCACTGAGCTACAGTCCCAATCCTACACTTTTAGTATTTTGCCTGTACAGCAGTATTATAAGTTTATTCTCTTATAGCCATAATTTAAAATTTTATATTTTTATAGCTAATTTGTTGTTAAATTTTTCAACAAGAGCCCCAAATGCTTTCAATTTAACAATGTCCATTCACCTAGTGTCCTCCACCCTGTGCTAGGGATTGAACCCATGGCATTGTGCATACTAGGCAAGCAGTTTACCACTGAGCTACACCCCCAGTCCTTTTAAAAATTTTTGGGAAAGGGTCTTGCTAATGAAGTTTAAAGTTGGCCAGACTGTCCTTGATCTTGCAATCCTCCTGACTGACACTAGAGTAGCTGGGATTATAAGCCCATGAGGTCAGCCAGAGTTTTATCACTTTGTATTAAAATTTTATAACTACTAATATATTTCCCAGGCCAATGATTTCTGTTTGTTTTGAAATTTTGAGTTCTATCTCTTAAGTATGTTAAAGATTTTTTTCAGGAATTAGAGTCAAAATAATTAAAATATGTGGAACTTTTATTGATTTTTTTTTTTTTAAAAAAGTTGTGATTCTGTACTGTTAATCTTCAGTGTGGGAAGTATTCCTTTTGCTGGAGTTATGTTTAGCATGAGCCAGAAGAATATAGTATATACTTAAGCTTTATTTTCTAAATTGAACTTTTTAGTAAGCTCTTGGAGACGTGCTGATGATAGGAAAGATGACCGGGCAGAAGAGCGGGATCCCCCTCGCCGAGTTCCTCCCCCAGCTCTTTCAAGAGAGAGAGAAAGAGACCGGGAACGGGAACGAGACCGGGACCGGGACCGGGACCGGGACCGAGACCGAGAAGGTGAAAAAGAAAAGACCTCATGGAGAGCTGAGAAAGATAGGGAATCCCTTCGTCGTACTAAAAATGAGACTGATGAAGATGGATGGACCACAGTACGACGTTAAGTCCCAAGATGGTGGATTCAGACTCGTGTCTTACATAGGTTTGATCACATTCAAGGATTATTATACTTGTTCTTCAACCAATCTAAATTGGATTCTTTAATGTTGTTTCACCATAACACAAAAAGCATGAACTTGTATTAATCCTATATAATAGATTGATCATGCACCGTATCCACAGAAGGTTGGAAAACCATGCCATTTTCTGGAATTTAAGGTGTTGCATTATTTCATCAATCACTTGTTTACAAAAGAGAAAAACTAAAAAATAAATTTAAAATGTGAACCCGTCGGGTATGGAGTAACACCTTTATCTTGGTATAGAACTGATATTTTTTTGTTTGATTTTGAAATATCTGATATTAATTTGGAATGAGGTGTTAAGCTTTTGTTAAAATGTATTCGAAGACCCTTTAAACCATTGGATCTGAAACAATTTTCACACCATTAGCGGTTGAAACATACCTCTTTAGGTATTTTGAGGTATTTACTATTAACTAAATTTAGGAAGTTTTTAGGTTCACTCTAAGTGCAGTAAATATTACAGACATTGGATACAGTGGGATTTTCTGTAGATTTTACTTAAGAAGAGGTGAGTATAAAGCAATTTGCAGTCATTATTGTAATGACAATACTGTTCAAGTGCAAACCCAAAACAGTGCAGCTTTTAAATTTTAAAGCATTTGGTAAACTATTGCTGTTTTTTTCTGTTGCCAATAGCAAACTGCTTTTCCATTAATGGAGACTTCATGCCTTTCAAGCATTTTAAATATGACAATATTTATAAATGTGTGATTTGGAGGAATTCTTTAAATTCTTTTTCTTAATTTCCTTTCTCTTCAGAATAGATTCTTTCAACAAGTAATTTGTAGTAATGACTGTGTTGACTTCAATTTTTGGAGTGTAGTAGCTATGTTAAAGATTAACTATTTGGTCTTATTGAAGCCAACACAGAACTTGCTGCTGTGTTTTTTCTTCAGTGATAAATAAAATACTTACAGAATTTGTTTTAGTGTTGATTTGTGATTGTAAAGTGTTATATAATGGTAAGTTTGCATTTTCAGCTGAAGTTTATTTTACTTGAGTTTGTATCAGTGCCATTAAATGTCTCAATGTTCAATATCAAAGAAAAAAGAAAACAACCTTAATTATAACACAGAAAGCAAATGCAGCTAGGGAATTTCCTATAAAGTGCCCTCCTTTCTTAACTGAAACTCCTTAATTTCACCTGGTGGGGGGCATGACTTAATTTTAGAGAATGTTATTTACTAAATTTTAGTGGCTGTGGGCACGGGAAATTTGATTGTTACTGAGCACTGTTGAGAGTTCCTGTTGGTACAGTTACAAGGCCAGAAGAGGGACTGTTGATGCTTTTTGACTTAATCAGATGCAGCTTTTCTGTTACCAGTGATCAGTTTTAAACACTTCATTTCTGGTGTATGAAACATGTGGAAGTCTTAAAAGCTCTTCTGTGAGAATCTTTTCTTTCATAAAAAGATCAGTGATTATCTGGGGCAATGACCTGCTATGAATTTGTTACTGTAAAGCAAATTGTACATATGATGTCATAGATAAGTCCCAGTCAAGATACATTTTATCAGACTTGTTTAGGTGAGTCATAGAAGCATGTATAACAGGTTTCAAGGCCAGTTTGCAAACCTACCCCTTTGGCTTGGACCGTTTCCCAGACATCCTTCTCCCAGGGTTTCTTTGTCCTGGGAATCAGAACTGAGAGCACAGTGGAAGGGCAGAGGAGTCTGATGCTGTTGCTTTGTGATCCAGCACTTGGGTTTCTGCTATCCTGGACTCTGACCCTCTCTGCTCCCACACTGTTAAGATGTTAAATTTAAACAACCGACCCACTCACTGATGTGCTAGGAGGCACCCATGTTCAGTGGCTTCTGCATTTTTAAAAGGGAAGAACATTGTTATTAACATAGATGGCCTGAGGGTGGAGATCTCATTGGGCTGTATTCTCTTCATATTTTAGCTCCCAGTATTTCAATGTTAGCTGTAAAACTGAGGCAGATTTGCTAGGGCAGGGTTGTGTGAGATATGGGGTACTTTAAATGGATTAATATAATGGCCAGCCAACTAATTCTAAGGAGACCTTTCCCAATACTCTCCATGCTTAGTGTTCCAAGTTCTGGTAAAGTAATGTCAGAACAGTGAATGAGTGGGCTGAGTAGTTCAGCTGTAGAGCTTGTTGTGGGAGACCTTGTGTTAAAACAGATCTCAGTAAAGGGGGGGGGGGAAGCAGATTATCATTTACATCTAATCACAGTGATTTCTCTTGTATTAAGGGTATGTCAGTATCACCTGCTTGAACATGTATAATTTGGAATTGGAATTATAATTTGGAACAGTATAATTTGGCTTAAAAAAATTCAAAGCAGCCAAATTGATTTGGTCACTTGTCTAGGCCTTTTGGCCTGGAAAAATGCACTCTTTGTTTATACTGATGTTGACCCCCGCTGCCCCCCCCCCCCCCCCGCCTTTTTTTAGTTGTTGATGGACAGCATGCCTTTAATATTTATTTTTATGCAGTGCCTAGGATCAAACAGTGCCTCACACATGCTAGGCAAGCGCTCTGCCATTGAGCTACAGCCCCAGCCCTATAGTGAGTGACCATTTTGAAAAGGTAGAGCAGAGCAGCCAGGGAAGTACCAACTTCATATTGACCTACATAAAACAAAGCTTATTTAAATTGTATATCTTTTAGCAAAAGAACAGAACAAGTAATTAGTGGTTTTACTAAGCTACTTAAACTTAGGCCCAGTCAGATCTGCAGTTAGACTTCCCAGTGGATTGTTTTCTTGGTTTAAAAAAAAACAAAAACAAAAAAAACCCAGGTTGCCTGTCTACCCCTCCCCCCTTGGTTCCAAAAGGGCTCACAAGCCACCCAGTATGATTTACCTCAGCCTCTGTCATGCCTTCAAATGAGTGTTCCAGATCAAGTCAATTTGCTATGGAGGAAGTTAGCTGTTTAATACCAAAGGAGTCTGGCTCCTAATACCCTAGCTAAATCTGCCTACTGGTAGCTTTATGTACTTAATCTCTTGGTGGTATTTTCAGATAGTTGTGTTCATCTTAATTCACTTCGGTTTTTTTGCTGCGTACATCTGTCTTCATGGGTAGGTGTCTACATACCATAGTATGGCATGCAGCATGTTGAATTTAAATGATCTTGGAAGTAAGGTCATGATTAGAAACCTTTGCCTATGAATCAGGTTTCTCACTGATAACTGGCAGGGTTCCAGAAGCATATGAGTGTCTTCTGTGAAGACTGGGAACATGAGGGGAGCCATGTTTCTTCTCTGCAATCCCCAGCAGTTATTTTGATCAGTGCCAATTCCGGTGTGCCAATATCTGAAGCCAGATAACCTGTACTGAAGATTCCACTCCATGTTATTACATTAGTTTTCCCATCTTGTGTTGTAGTTTGAGGGATAATGGCTACAGTAAGCTTTCCTTCACTATTTAGGAATCCTGAAATTGAGCAAGTCAGGATGAGCCTGAGCACTGTTGGGTGGTGGGCTGGGTTTGTGGCTCAGTGGTAGAGCGCTTCCCCAACTTTTGCAAGGCACTGGGTTCTATTCGCAGCACCACATATGAGTAAAATAAAGGTCCACTGGCAACTAAGTGTTTAAAAAAAAAAAAAAACTGGAAATGGGAAGTTGGGGGCATGAAGAGAAAATGCTATGCAATCATACTGTATAAATATTTTTTTAAACAGCACCATCTCCAAGTGTATACACAATATGATTATGACTTGGCACAGTTTTTAAAGGTGAAAAAGGCTAGTTGCTAGTTCAGTAATAAAAGATCTGGTACATAAAAGGAGCTGTATTCTACCTGCTACAGACTGCATTTTACACCTCCAGTTAGGACGGAAACAAGCCACAAGGAGGGAATACCCACCCAAATTAATACTGAAAAGAACTAAATTTCACTTCTTATAATGCTTATAATTGCTTCACCTGGAATTAGAATATAACTAAGGACAACTAAAATAGTGCATCAAACAATAAAATAGTCATTTTGCTGACATTCCATAAAATTGTCAGTTTTAAGCTCAGTTCAGAGGCTATTAAAAAAATATACTAGACCTAGTAAAGTGCCTCCATTCATAAAACGAAACACCCAAGATTAGAGATAATTTCATACCGACGCGCATCTAAAATAGGTCGACGTATACAGTAAATAAACAGCGTCTCTCGGCTGCCATATTCAATTAGTGAAATACACATCCAGCCTTCTTCGCAGTCCTGGATGTGTGCAAACTAGAAACAGCCCCCCTCATCCACCCCCCTCCAAAAAAAAAAAAAAAAAAATCAGCGTCTAGTCTCAATCTGCTTGACAGAAGTACTCCCGCACAGCCGACTTCACAACGTTCCAGGTTGAGCCAGTGCTGACAGCTCCGCATCTCAACCAATAAACAGGGAAAGACCGTTCGCAGAACAAAACGGAGGGCAGGCAGCGAATGCAGTAGCGTCAGGTGCCCGCAGACTGGACGCCGGGCCCTCAGCGCAGCTTCTTGCCTGGCAGGCTGTCCCTAGCGCCGCGCGGCGGCAGACGCGCGGCGGGCGGTGCTGGCACTTTGGAGAGCGGACAGTACTTGATGGTGTGCGCGTTGTCGCCGCTGGCGCCGCACAGGGGGCACGTGTAGCGACGCAGCACCGGGCACAACACTCTCCCGTCGGGGCCCTTCAGGATGTGGGTGGTGTAGAGAGCCACCGCCTCCTTGTTGTTCCGGCAGAACACGCACACCTGCAGCTCGGGTTTGAGCAGCCGGGCGGCGGCTGTCCCCGAGGTAGCTTGCAGTCGGGGCTCGGCCGCCCACGCCGGGGCCCGCTCCTCTCGCGGCGTCACCTCGGGGGTGGTGGCGGCGGCTGGCGCGCAGCCCAGCAGCACCGCAGCAGCGCGACCTGCGAACGGGCTCAGCTCGGCGAAGCGCTCCTCCAGCAGACCATTTTCGGCGGGGCCTGCGCATAGCTCCAGCGCGCGTAGCTCCAGCGCGCCCCCCAGGAAGCGGCCCCGGGACCCCGGCTCGTCGCTGTCGTCGTCGTCGTCGTCGTCCTCGTCGTAGTCTGGCGGCCCCAGCGCCGGCCCCAGCGCCCCGGGCCCGGCCCCCGTGTGGGGGGAGCAACAGGACGAGGACGACGAAGAGGGCGGGGAGCCGCCACCGCCGTCCTCGCCACGGGCGCAGCCGAAGCGCGGTTCGCCGTCCACCGCCTTGGTGATGAGCGTAGCGAGCCCCAGATAGTCGTTCCACGAGCTGAAGGGCTGCGGGTGCGCCTGACCCTGGGCACTCACGTAGCGGGCACTGGGCACGACCGCCATGGGCGCGGGGGCGCGGCCACGGCGGGGCGAGCGGGGCGCCCAGGGAAAAGCCTCCATGGGCGGGCTGCGGGCCGCACGCCGCCTCCCCGCCGCCGGCGCAGGCCGGACGGAAGGGACGCGCCGAGCCTGCCCGCCGGTCAGCCGCGGGGTGGGGCCGCCTCGCTGCTTTTTATCGGGCCCGCTCCTCCCCGCGCCCCTCCTCGCCGCCGCGGCCCTGCCCCCTGCGCTCCCCCGCCCGGGCCACCTCGCCTGCGCCCCGGACGGAGGCGGAGCAGAGGCGGGCGCGCCGAGGGCGGGCGGGCAGTGCGCGCGCTCCGCTCAGACCCGCGCGGCTCCCGCGCCCAGCGCGCTAAGCCCGCCTCGCCAGCTGCGGGGCGCCTTTCATATTGTGAGGGGGCGGGCGAGGCGCCGCCTCGGACCGCGGCGCTAACTGGCTGCGGACCGGAGCCCCAGCGCCACGGGCGCCGCTCCCGATGCTGATTGGTGGCTGCTGGGGAGGGGGCGTGCGCGGCACGCGCAGCGGGGAGGTGAGGGAAAGTAGGGGAGAGCCGACCCAGGCGGAGGCTCGCCTTGATTCCAGAGCTGGACCCTGGGCTGGAACAGGTGATCAGGCCTGGGCCTCCCTGGGTCTGGTGGTGAGGGTCGCCGAAGACAGGGTTCGGGATGGCGGGCGGGGGATGCCCCAGGGTTTACTCACCCACCTTCCAGCCTAGGATGGCCCTGGGCTGCGGACTGAGAAGCCCTCTTTTTGCCTCCTAGCTTCTCGCCAACGTGCGCAAGAAAAGCCGTGGAAGGTAGGACACGGGGGAGATCTCAGGATGCACCTCTTACATCGTAGCCGCCCAGCGACCCAGTAACTTTGATCGCACAGGGCTCGGGAACGTTTTCTGGCGAATGAAATACTCACAAACCTCCAAGGCTCAGAGAGCTTTCGGTTTTAGTAAATAGCGGAGGTGCGCTGGAGTTTCCCACAGGACTAGAGCCTTCCTACAGGTGTTCAGTCTGGGGCCATTCGCTGGTGACTTAGGTTGGAGTGAGGGCAGGGCCAGAAAATCGTCTCATCCGTCACAGAGGTTAGGACAGTGATGATGATGATGGGTGTGAAGCCTCTCTCCCCTGGGGGGTCTGGATTGAAATCTAGGGTGTATGCAATTTGAAAAATAGCATATCCAACATTATAATTTAATGCTTTGAGGCAAATAAGATTTTTATTTGTAAAAAACATTGGAGAACAAAATGTAGATACTTTTTGATTGACTGATAGGATGACAGGTTGTCTTGCCTTTCCCAGGAAGAGGTAATTTTTTTCCCCCTTTAAGATTAAAAGAAGGAAAGTTTTGAGGCACTGAGGGCTCTTCTAGGATGTGACCTAGATATTGCACAGTAAAATGCATGCTCTGGGCCAGTGGCAGGTCAAGGCTTTCCTTCCCCGGCTCTGGACCGTGCAGTGGGTATTGAAACTAAGAGATGGGATCCCTGAGGTCGGAAGCCCTGGTTAGGCCCGAAGTCACACTTCCAGGTCTGGCTGTACCCTTCAGGTTTAGGATGGCCTGGCAGAGGATGCTAATGTTGGCCTGGGCTGACATTAAAATGAATGAGTGGGTGAATCAGTGTTAGTGGTGGAAGAGGTCTTTGGGCTCATTACTACTAGTCTTTACAGATGAAGAAAATGAGCTTCTGAAGAGAAAGACTTTTTTGAGGTTACACAGTTAACTGTGTGACAGCCACCACCAGGACTGGGGCCCAATCTCTCTTGACCCTGTGGCTTCCCCACCATACCATGTCTAGAAGATATTTCAAGAGATGGAATTGGTACATGCATGGACAGAATTCAAATGCAGAGCAAGGGAAGGTGGAAAGAATAATGAGATGGTCTGATGTGCCTGTGGCTTGGGCCCCTACCTGCAGGAAGCAATCCAAGGCCTGCTGGCAGGCACAGGGAAAGACTTGAGGCAGTAAAGTGGTGCCTGTTCTGATCACCTGCTGGGTTAGGGCTCTTAGCCCTGGACAAAAGGTGATATGAGACCTGCAACCAGGCAGTAGTACAATCCACTTGCCCATACAGTTCCTCATTCAAGTTTGTGTTGGCACTCAAGTTAAAAAGTCATCCTTTATTTCTTCCCCCTCTTCCACCAAAAATAAATAGAAGAGCCCAAATGCTCTGGGACTCCCACAGAAGCCTGGCAGGTTTGCTGACACTGAACTTGAGCTCTTCTTGCAGGCCCCAGAGTGGTATGAAGATTATTATTCTATAAATGGAAAATTCCACCGTGATCCTGCACCTGCATATCTCCAAGGGATGCAGACTTTTTGAGCTCTGAAGAGTGGAAACCATCATTCTGAGAAAAAGTTCAGCAAGGAAAGTTTAAAACTACTGTGTCTGCTCCCTCTGGGTCAGGCCCAACGAAGGAAGGCAAACAAATGGAGACCTTCTTTCTTGCCCCACATAGTTCTTATGTAATGGAATGAGGAGAATAAGAACTTGGATATTAACTTGAATAAGAACAAATGCCTTGCTAGGGACTTGCAGCCTGAGTGAGTGGGCAGTGGTGACAGGACAGAGATGCCCCAGAAGGAAGTGGAAGGAACAAGTGTGTTCTGGAGTCTGGCCACGTGCTATTTCCGTGGCTGCTCACCTTGCTCGTTGTCACCGTTGCCCGCTGTCAAGCAGGCATTTGGCCCAAAAGGAAAGTCTGAAAGTGGAAGTGAAGCATAAAGGTGTTTGTCATGGGCGCATGCTGGGCATAGTACCCTGGAAGCCTTTGCTGTTAGTCACCATAGAAGGGGCAAAGTGGCAGCTGCTCCAGCTCTGGGTAAAATAAATGGTTACTTTTGTCACCAAGCACAGTCCTCAGCCTGGCAGTGAGCTTGCCAGCTCTTTGAGGTGGGAGGACTGACTTGAGAGTGGCTCTTAGTACTTCCCATGAAGTCTGACTGTCTTTTGTTCTCTTTCTAGGAGTCTGGAACGAAACAGGTGGAAGTAGCCAGGGTGTGGACATTTCTCCAGAGGACACCCTCAGACAGTCAAGGCAAGAAGACGGGTGGGCATCAGGCCTCATCTTAGCAGTCAGGGGTGTTGCTCAGTTTCCTATGGGTGGTGGTGGTGGGGCTGCCTGGGCTCTGCATTCTCACCTCTCTGCATGTCCCCAGCCAGGGCTGTTTCCTTTGCTGGCAGAAGAGCTGAACCCTGAGAGACTGCACACAGGCCTTGTGCTCTTCAGAAGCATGAAGTCAGCCCTGCGGAATGAGGCAGCTTGGCTGGTGTCCAGCAGCTCTAGAGGTGCTGTTTGTCGGGCTCTGGGTTCTTGCTGGCCTGCTTGCCAAGCTTTTGCAAGGGGCCAAAAGTGCTTTAGTTGCCCCAGCTGTGGGGTTGCAGGGGTGAGGAGGGGCTGGCATGGGGGGGATCTTGCCTGCAGAGTGTTGACTCTGTCCATGTCATGCCTCTGGAAGCATCCCTTGCTGAAATGGGGAGCTTGCTGGGCCAGGTTGCAAAGACACAGGTGGCCTTGGATGAGGAACCTAACGCCTCTGAGCCACAGCTCTTTCCTCTGAAAAGTGAAGGGACTCCTCATGTAAAGTGGCAGCCGCTTACAGGTTTAAGACAAGCAGAAAACATCTCATTTCCCCTGGTCACAGTGGGGGTAAGAAGAGGGCTGCTGACCCAGTCCTGGGGTGACTTGGTGACTGTTTGCACAAGATAACTCAGCATACTGGAAGCGTACACTTCCTTGTTTGAGCCACTTGGAGCTGGGTATTCTTGTAGCTGACTCGGTTGACAAAATTGCCTGTGTGTAGACAAGGTCTCAAAGGGATAGGGGGGATTGAGGGCAGGTGCTTTAGGGTATCACTTTCCCCTGCCTGTGGGCTAAAGGCTCCCAGCTGATAGGAATAATTCCTCTACGTGTCTCTCCAGCGGCTCCCACCTCGCCCAGCTGCCCTGTAGGGCTAGGGCTGATTGGCTCTGCTACTGCAGAGACTCCTGCTGCTAAGAAGTAGCAGGGCTGAGACTTGCACCTTTGTTGTTCTCACTCCAAGCTGGGTGTGTGCCTCTTCAGATGCACCAGGTCGTTCTTGGGGTAGCTGAGTTTCTGCTAGGGGGGTTGGAAAGGCCAGCAGTGCACAGCAGTGGGAAGGGACAGAGCAAGTACCACTTGGGGCAAAATGGGTACATCACATACCATGTCAGATGTCCCCCAAACAAAATCAAGTCCATTTAAAAGCACTCTAGTGGGGCACGGTGGCACATTCCTTTAATCCCAGCAATTTGGAGGCTAGGGCAGGAGGGTTACAAGCTCAAGGCTAGTCTGGACAATTTAGTGAGACTTTGTTTCAAAATAAAAAGGGTTGGGGGTGTAGCTCAGCAGCAGAGCACTTGCCTAGACTGTGGGAGTCTCTGGGTCTGATCTCCAGCATGGCCAAAAACCAAATAAAAAATAAATAAATTTACCATATGACCTGTACTCTTAGAGCATGTATGTGCCCAAGAGAAATGAAAACAGAGGTCCAAAGCCTAGTACACCAGTATTCTTAGCAGTATCATTCATAATAGCCTGAATATAATCCACCAACTGATGAATAAACAAAGTGTGGTATATCCACAGAATGAACCACTACTCCTCAGCAATAAAAAGGGAAAACCTATGGGTATATACAACAGGATGGATGACACTCAAAAACATGCTAAGCGAAAGAAGCCAGACACAAAAGATATTGTACAGTTCCACTTGTATGAAATTTCTAGAAAAGATAGTGGTATAGAGTTTGGAAGCAGATTAGCAGTTGCTTGGGGATATTCCACGGTGGGTGGGTGGGGCTGACTGCAGATGGGCAGGAGGAGCTCCTGGGTTTTTTACGGAAGTGTTCTAAGATGAAGTGGGGAGGGTGCACAACTGTATGCATTTGCACAACTATATGCATTTATAAATGGGCCCACTTATAATGAGTTTTGTGTGATATAAATTATACCTCAAAGTTGTAAAAGATGTTCGCAGCAGCATTCTTCTTTTTTTGGGGGGTGGGGTGGGTACTCTACTGATGAGCCACATCCCCAGCCCTAT